CCCCAAAGTTTCCTCTTAGAAAAAGTTGACTGGTGCCTGAAGCTCCTACTAGCGTCAATTGTGTTTTGTTGTTGTTGTTGTTTTTTTGTACTGGTGAAGCAGTTTTGAACCTGGTAAGGGGAATCTTCTATACATGAACAATAATATGTTATTTTATGAGCAGCTAGGAGAATGTACATTTGGTATGCATTTTTAAATATGAACAGACTTATTGTCTCGACTAGCAGCTTATATCTCACATTCGATAATTAAATAACCTTAAACGTCTGGATAGGTATAAAGCACTTATCAGATAAGGAGGAAATGCCTTTTGAGTGTTTCGGCGTATCTTCTTTTAAGGGAGTAACTGTATTGAGATACTGATTAACCACCCTTAGAAAAAAAAAAGTTGCCCGAAAAGATAAATTCAGCCCTCCTATGTAACGTAAGCCGACCATCTCTTGACCCTCGTTTTGCGCTCTAACAGGTTAACTTTATCGTGATGGGACTTCATATTTAGTTTTCCATTTAATAAGTGTTAGACACTTAGGAGACCTGAAAACAGCATAAGAGAGCTTTAGCAGTTTTGTCATCTGTCAACTATTTTCTCAGGTCACGCATAAAACTTGCATACAACAAATGACCTGAAATGAAGGATCAACAAGACCCTTTAATTTTAAATGTGAAAAACAACTGTTTCGGTTAGTTTTCTAATTTTCAGGTCTTCCCTGCTAATTCTTGGGAGCGTGTGGTGCTCGCAGTCTAAAGACTGCTTAATCGTCGATTAAGTGGTATTAAGATGTACCTAGGTCAAAAAAGCTGTAGAATGAAAGTATCTTGTCAAACCTGGTCTAACCGGGAATAATAAAAAAATATATTTATTATTTGATAGGTAACTTTTCTATACATACTAGGCGCCGTAAAGTAATTTATCGTTTTTAGTGACGAAATCTCACGCTTTTAGAAGGCAAGCAGTATTGGAAGCCGTAATTTACTATTTACTCAAAAACTGGTTTTAATTAAGATGTCAACACTCAGTGGAAATAGAAACCGTCAGGTGGTTAGTAAAATGATTTACTTGTGAGTTTTTAACTTTTTACTGCATGTGTGGCTAGATTCTCCGAATATAGCGTACATGTTGGATTGAAAAGTCTGAAACTGGATTTCCAGTGTATGCAATTAAGCTAGGTCTTAGCTGTGAGAAGGTGATGTTTATGTTAATTTAAAGCCTGACAGCGTGCCGTTTATTCACTTTGCATGCGGAAGTTGGAATGCAGGGTTTCACTAATGGGGGTAGCCCCCGTTAACAGGGAAGGAGAAGCAGGAATTCTGGAGCGCGTGGGAATGTTGAAAACGGGATCCTTTCCCCCTCTTTTCCCTTTTTCTCCCTCCTCGCGCGCCCCTCTTGCTCTCACGCGCCCAATTCCTGCCTTCTCCTTTCCCTTTTAAAGCTGCCACGCAGGCTACTCTTAGCGGATTAAGCTCTTCTAATGTTAAGTGGTTTCTAAAAGGTTGCGGTTGTGTACATTGGCTTGCACCTCACACAAACTGCAAGCAAATGTGACGACATGAAGAAAGTATAATATCGAAAGTCAACCTTTGGAAACTGTTAATGTGAAGATTTAGGATTGTTTACTGCTGGTGATCTCTCATGAAACCTACATGTTGATAAAATAACTGCTAGATTGGTTAAAAAGACTTGCAGGGACTTAAAGGACATTGATACTATGAAAACACTTTACTGTAGTCTTGTGAGACCTTTATTAGTATATTCATGGGAAACTTGGAAGCCTCATACTAAAGGTAACATTGATAAATTAGAGGCTGTACAGCGAAGAGCCACCAGATGGATTACTAAGTCTGATGATGATTACGATACTAGACTATCTAAGTTAAAATTGTTCTCATTATTTCATAGCAGGCTTATTAGAGATGTTACGTAATTGATGGACATTATGATATAGGCATTTCAAACAAGCTTATATTTTGTAAGGACAGAAACACAGGTTATAACTTGTAATGAGGAAAAATGACACACAGGACCTTGATTATAGCCCAAAACTGGTTGAAGATATCAACAAGCGGAATAAAAACTGCTGTCACTGCTCCATTGAACACGGTGAATAAAGATTAAAAAAAGGATTAACTTCTGTACTTCTTATTTGGCTTGCACCCAATGAGAGAACATTTGTCTTCAATCCGGATTTTGTGAGTGGGTTTGTTTATTGCGCTCTCTGATCATGATTTCGCAAGGAAAATTTGTCGGTGCGGCTAGATTCTTCTAACTTCGTCTGGGAGAAAAGTCGAAAGTGACAGGAGGACGGCAAACGACAGATTCAAGTTGAAAATTTCTCAAAACAGAAAACGAACAGATAAAAACAGCTCAAAACAATTCTAATCTATTGGATAGAAAATTCCATGAAACTCCTAACAAGTGTGTAAAATTAATGAACAGTAAACGACAAGTAAAGTGGAATTGGTCACGTGGTACAAATTCGCGTTGCCCGTTTGATGTAAACGTGATATGCTTTAACTCTCTTAAAACTTAGTGGACTTCAGGGAGAACTAATGTCCCGGAATAACCCGACTCGCAAAGTCTTAACTTTGACTGAGAAGAGGTTATCGCCTATTTTATTTAGTTTGACTGCAGTGCTTACAGTTTACTCATTTGATATGCGGAAGTTCAAAGTGGAATACCTTGGAATGAAGGATAAGGGGTTTATTCTAATTAAGCCTTTCTACTTTTAAAGTGCAGGTGGTTTCGAAAAAGGTTGCAGTGGTGTACATTGGCTTAACCTGAAGACTGCAAGCAAAAGTGGCATATCGCTCTAAGAACCACAAGCTGAAGGCTTTAAAGAAAAAGCTAATTCAAGCTACCTCTACTTAATGAATGTTTTAGATCTCCTTCTATAACGTCCGAAAATCAGATGCACTCTTCTGAAAGTACACTATCAGCTTACCCTTTACTGATTGTTTCAAAGCCGCAGAAAGAATACTTCCTGAATGTTCTATTAAAGGGATTGCATACGGCAAGCGGACGCTTTCTAGACATAATCCACACTTGCCACGGGCCACTGCAAAAACAACCCTTAACATTTAATTGCCTTTCGCAAAGAAGTGACAGTTTTCTAAAGAATTATCATCACTGAACCGTTTAACAAGTTAAACCACGAAACAACGTGCGTATGCAAGCATTGAATGAAAAAGAGCTGAGGGCAGTTTCCAGGATCCATGTACTGGTTTTCGTCCTTTCAGCAAACATAATGCATTTGTGGGTGGGAATAAAGCCTTCTTAAACTCAGTACGTGGAATACTGCACGCAAATAAAAAGAATAGAATCAGCTTTCCTTTGCCAAGAGGGTCATTTCTCATGTTTGACCGTCTAAGTTGCCCCAACTAGGGTAAGCAACTAGCATTTGGCAACAGACTTTAGATTATCGTTGCTCTTACAAATATCTATAATTACTGTTAATTATAGGAATATTTTAAAGGTGCTTTTGAAAGAGTTGCGCTCAAAATATTTTGATCAACTATTTTCAGATAGAGCCGTCTTGCACGGCACTCTGGGACCACAGTGGCACTCCTTTTACTGAGTTCCTGAAAGCGTGCCTATATCAAAGCCGCTATTAAATTTACATATCATATGAAACCAATAAAAAGGCAAAGTGACAGTGTAATTCGAACAGTGTGCCCAGCTCCATAAGACAGCCAGTTTTCATTAATCTGAATGTAGTGATGAAATACTTGGCAGAAGTCAATGTTCACGAGTCCTTTTTTTCTTCTTGTTAATATGCAAGACATTGAATTCGCTCCTTTGAAGCAAAACATATGATTAAGCACACGTTTACTTAAAGTTACAATACCGTTAAAAGCCAAAGAAAATGTTGTTTTTGAAGATGACTACCACAAAGGTTGTTGAAACGTCTGTTTAATGTCTCAACAGTGACCCTATTCAGGACAACACCCACCCAGACGATCACGTTCCACCTACGTTTGAAATGACTCCTGGGCTCAAACATTATGCATCAGTCAATTCCACCTGCGCCAAGCTCCCCCCACCCCCACCCGGGCTACTGCGGGGCATTTGCCCACCTTGTCAGTCCCGGGGGTGGGGTATTAGCAAATTTTGCGCTGCCCGGGGGCTGGGCATTTGCCAATCCCCCGGCCAAACCCTTATAACTACACAGAGGATTTTACTGGAAAAACAAGCAGGTCGGCTCATTTTAGCTCATTTTTCAAGGAGGGGAAAAAATTTAAGAGGTTTGTAAAGGCATGTTCTCGATTTTATGCATGCATTTCTTCATTGCTTATCAAGCCAGAATTACATAGCGGAACTCGGGAGCTATCGACGTGAATCAATGTTTTTTTGGTTATTGAAGCAAGTTTCTCTTGATATTATTTGAAGAACATCCTTTCATATTTATAAAACTATTCATAGCAGTAAACTTTACAGCGCACTATTAATTTTAAATATGTGAATAAGTTTATAACAATACTAAAATCATAAACTGGTGTCGTCACGGCGTGAAGTGTTAATTAGAATAGCGCTATTACAAAGGAAGACGTTAATTGAAGCAAAAATTCGCACATTAAAATGCTTAAAATCGCACTACTCGACTGTGCGATCAAAGAAAAATTTTGCGGTGTTGACGGAGGACGGGGCATTTGCCCTCTTTTTTCGTCCCCACCCCGGGGGATTTGACAGCTCAAGAGTCCCCACCCCCGGGAATTTGCCATCCAAGGCAAAAAAAGTTCTAATGCCCGGGGGTCAGCTCGAAAGGGAATTGACTGCTGCATTAACTGTAAATGAAACAATTTCAAATTTGGATCATATTGCACTTTCAGTGCCCAATCAGCTTGTTTTTACTTTTTGAGAGGATTTAGTATGCATGGCTGGTTTGTCAAACATTTGGAAACGTTTGTACCGCTATAAAACAACCCATCCAGATGTCGACAGGTCATTTACATCTTGGTTCAGCAGCCAGATGGACATCAGAAAATTTGCACTTTTTGTCTTTCTCCTAAACCTGGGGATTCTCCCTCTAACTGTAAAAGGTATGCCACTCTTCTTTTCATCGTAGGCCGTTGCAATCTGTATTTGTACGTTCTTATACCTAACAAAAGGCAAATATTACTTTTTTTTCTTTTAACATAGTTAAAAATTCTTACAATTTCATCTCCTGAAAATTAATTCATCTCGGTCGGAGACTTTCTATTTTGTTAATTTTTCTTTAAGGAAAATGCATGTACTGGTATTTAGACCTCATATAAATCTAGAAGGTCTGATAGTTTCTCTTATATTTTTGAATTTGGTAGTGTTCTATTTACAAATGCAAGTATGGGGAATACAACAAGCCCTTCCCTCTCGTTTAAGTGACTAACTCAGTGCTTGAGCTCGCGACTAGAGTACTAAGGTCAAAGTCACTTATCGATTCATTTTTCCATCTCATTTGATGTGCCAGTTTCTATACATCTCACGATCTCGAGAAAATGATTATATTACAAAGTTTCCGATGGATTAATTTGTTTGTTGCAACTCTGTTCTTCAAAATATAGTACAGTCTGTTCAGTCAGCGGGCTACCACTTGGATTGAAGGAAAACGAAACAAAATTGTAAACACAGTCAGGTGATCTATTCTTGATACGATATTTCATATCCTCGATCAGAAGACCAATAGTTTGAAGATTTCAGATCTAGATTTTGCCAGTGGGGTGAGATCTTTGAAATCAAATTAAACCTGCCCTTTACACTCCACACCCACATTCTGATGCAAAGCGAAAGTTTTAATCCATTTCAAACTTTCGAAGGCGACAGTGATATCGGGCGGTTCATCAACCCTCCTTTTACAAAAAACCTTAAACGAGTTTTTATTCTTTGATTTTCCTATTTCCGAATCAGTCATTCCCGCACTTCTACCGATGTTCACATTTCCTAATTCGTGCAGCTCTGTTTTAATCCAATCAGAGATAACTGTCATTGCGGGCTACCCTTTTGGTGCAAGGAACCGAGCTTACTCGACACATTTATATTGTGTGTCGCCCGTAGCAAAACGGTAATCAGTTCATTAATCTAGACATTTATATAGATTTGCTTTCAACAAGTGGAGTAACTGAACATGAACGAAAAAAAAACGAGGGTAGACAAACTCGGACTCAAAACAAGTCTAAAGAGAGTTATTACAGTAGCTATACTCCGAGTTTGCCCTTTGGACCGCCACGATCTTTATTAAATATGTCCAAATCAAGAGAGAAACATTGAAACTTGATGATAAAAGAAAGCAAAAACAATATAAAAATTAGATGATATTAAAATTTTCAAAAAGATATTTACCTCCAACACGAGAATGCGCTTGCATCGAACTGATATGCCATTCGCCAAGTTGTTTAGTACAATTTCAGAAAACCACATTGAGTAATTGAAATTAAAAATATCCGTATATATAGAACTATTGTTCCTGAATATTCTTCACATAACTACAAGGCAAATATTTTACGCCTGGCCTGGAAATGTAAAGTGAAAAAACGCTAGGCTATGTTTTTTAAGCTCACATTTCGGTTCCCTACAACACCACAGGACACTTATTGCCTCGTAGACTTACGAACCGTAGGCCAAGTTATTTTTGCAGCGCTATTTAGATGAAAAGAAAGTTCATAATATTCTCGCAAAAGAACAGCTTTTGCTGATACTTCTTTCAAACTGAACTTCACTATATGAAGAAGAATTAATTTCCTATCTTCACATTTTAATAACACACGAAAGTTTGACTCCTTGCCTTTAAAATAAACACAGACACCACTCCGTCTCGTTCCATACCATACCTACACTACATTGAGACATTTTTTTTTTCTATTTTACTGGCATTTCCTATCAGGTAGGCAAACTAAACGCATCAGAGACACGTCAAGGATGGAATTGCAACAGCGGATGCAAGGCTCCACAACATTGTACACTGCCACGCTGCACTAACGTGGTATTTCCACACACGTTTAGTGGATCTGGAACCGTAAGTAAAACCTAAGGAATTAAAAATTACCGTATTTCAACCAATAATAGCCGCGAGCGACTATTCGAGGGAGGCGATTATTTCAAATACTGCTCACTAGAGGTCGTTCCCTAAATATTTTTTTTTATTATCTATTAAATAATAATAGAAAAATAATCACATCAGATATGCTAAGCATGGGTTTTATAAGTTTTCAAAATATGGCTCCTTGCATTGGCAGGAGCAATCCTGTTCCTTGCTTATTTTTCAATGTCAATATCCTTTGCGTTAAAGCTTGAATCGTCACTGATCAGTTTTGCTGGATGAGATTCCACTTCAGCTTTGTTTGTTATCCAACGTGCCAATTTTTAACTTGGCGGGGAGAGGATGAACGAAAGAGAAGATAGCAAGAGGGGTGGGGGTAGGGAGCGGTTATTTGAGGGGGCGATTAATCGAGGAACGGCTATTTTTCGAGGAAATACAGTAGTCTCATCTTAAGGGATGGCGGCTACTTTCTTTTGTTAGCAGACCACAATAAGCTTCTTAAGAAACTAATGTTTGCAACAAATTTTGATTTGCCAATTAAAAAAAATGAGGCTTTTGTAACGTTATGACCTGAGAGAATTTAGTGCGCATAGGTATGTTCAAGTGCTCCCTAATCCCTAGGATGCGTGTGTTTTCAGAGAAAATAAAACAATACGAAACAAAAATGCCAGAAAATTCTGACAATAAAAATAGGCTAGAAGACCTTTAACCCTTTGAATGGGGTAGGGAATGGAGGCGGGCGGGATGCGGTCGATTTGGAGTGGAATTAGACTCTTTTCTTTTCAGATTTAGTGAGAGAAGTGCACCCACACACGAGCGTGGAAGCCGCCAGAAGCGCGCGAGAAACGAGGACGGCAGTCTCGCCCTTTCAGTCACCCGCGTGGTCAGTTGCGTTTCTCGCATGTTTTGGTCGACGGATTAAGAAAAAAAGAGACTTCTCGTAGTCTAGGGTTGAATTGTTGCCTGCAAATTTTCATTGATGCTTATCTTTACCTAACGCATTTCAGGTTCGAGTCTTTGTGTCATTAAGCCACCAAGATCAGTCATCAGATGCAGTTCATTCACCTTCCGCCGTGTGGGCAGAGTCCATAAGTACAGCTGGATTTCAGTTATGCTCGCGTGCAACAGGCTATACAAATGACACTGGCATTATCAACTGGGTAGTATTCCAGGACAAACCCATGTTAACGCATGGAAGCTTTACTTTTGGCGGAATATGGACAACAGAAACAAAGTGTGAGAAGGTGGCCTTTTCTCAGTTTAGACAACAATAATTGATAACAAGTATTTAATTTTGTTTTAAATGTGTAAAACGGACATAGCAAAGTACATTGCTAAAAGTCTTTTAAGCTTTCTCTCGGGCTTAGTTTCAAACTTTTCCTTCCATCGCCTTTAGATAAGCCATTTTCATGTTTTACTTTGGAGGTGGTGATTGAATAATGCTTGACCGTTTTGAATGTATTGATGTGTTAAAGGTAATTTGGAAAATAAAAGTCTATTTTTTTAATGATATTAAATTTTTAGCATTAAACTTAACACAGTTGGCCGAAAAGGAACATTGTTGTTTGTAACTTTATTTAAGTAATGGGCCAAATAAGATGCATTCACCAATATTTTCAACACTTCGTAGAAAGAGGTGAAAAAGGGGTAGAATATTGAGTTAATGGGAATAAGACAAGAAGATTTAATTAATCTTCTCCCCTTAGCCTTTGATAAATCCTTAATTTCATTTAAGTGCCGCTAAGTACTTCATGGACACGTTCCTGCTGATTTATCTTTCGAGAAGCTTGTTTATTTTTCAATCTATAGTTTTTGATATATCTAACATTTTTTTGCAGAGCTTTGCTTCCAAGCCTTGTGTATTTGCCTCTGTTAAGTACACTCGCAGTACAAAGCCAAATGACGCTATGTACTTATGGTTAGAGAACGTCAACTCTGGAGGATTTGAAGTGTGCTTAAGGGAATTCTTGCCCTTTGATGGAAAACACCAAGATGCAGTTGTGGTAAGTAAAGAAAAATGTCCGAGAAACTATAGTATTGATGAAAACAAACAAACAAACAAAAAAAATTGACTTTGCCACACTTCGGAAGCCCGGAAACCCAATTAACCAAAACGTTTTTGACGCAATTAAGGTCAGTGTCGTGTCTCACGTGTCTCATGCAGTCATTTCTTGTTAAAGGAAATGTGGTTCGAAACCTGACGCAACTCGTCTTGTAAGGAAAAGGGTAGCAAATTAAACATTATTTTCTTGTCCACAGGACTGGTTTGCATTCACTGGAAATGGGAGTCAACTTAATTTCACAATAATTGGGGAAGAAATCTTTCCAAACAGTGGAAATCCATCGGCCAAAAACAACTACGGCTTCTGTCAGGTGAAAACTTTAGTTCTTACAAGAACATTTAGCAAGCGAAAGAACACTGATTTTTTAGTGGTTAAGTTCACACTAAAGAAAACTTAAAATACAGTAAACCCAAGCTTACCAGGCCATGCTAATCGACATTGTATCCAAAATGGCAATTCCCAGATGAGCGCGACATGTTTATCTCGCGATTTTGATGTTCGCATATTTCACGATTCTTAAATTTCGTGACTTTGCGAGAATTTTTTTATTTTGAATCTCTTCAATTTCGCGTTGTAGACAGTGGGCGAATATTAGAAGTGGGGACTTTACAGAAGATGGGCAAAAATAGAGGGAGAAGTGAGCACGTTCAGATCCATTTACTAACTTACATGACTTTTTTTACCTATTTCCAGGAAGTGCCTTTCAATACGACCTTTTACAAATCGCCAATTGTGATTCTTTCCGTAAATCATGAGTATAATCTTAAGGTCAAGGGAAGTCGTCCTCCAGAAAATAATATAATATCAGCCTGGCTAGAGGTAGGTTTGCTTTTTTATTCTAACCTGATAAACAGCCCGCCCGACATTTCGCGCGACGCCACCACTAGTTTACCCACAAAATGAGGAAAACCCCGAAAACCCCGTTTCACGACGCAATTACTGGCTTTCCCGTGAAAAGACGTGTGTGGAACGAGTGTAGAAATTCCATACTGATGACGTGTACTTCCCAGATCAAGATAGTGCTTCTGATTGGTCATGCTGCAAAATAAATTTTCTTTAACCAATCAAAAGCACTGCATGCCCAGATCTGCGTAGTGACACATCATCAGTACGCAATTTCTGCTCTCGTTCCTCAGACGTCTTTTCACGGAAAAGCCAGTAATTGCGTCATGAAACGGGGTTTTCCTCACTGGGTTATTTTCTTGATGGTCACTTGAGGTTAATGATAATGAACAGGGATTTTTTCAGTGCTTTGCTACATTAGTCTATTCAACTGTTTGCTTGAACTCTCACGACACCTTTGAGACCCAAAAGCGCATATCCCTTGTTCAATCAGGGGAGAGAAGAAATCCGTCTATTTAGACTGGGGAAACTTTCGCAAAAGAGAACTTCTGTCGGCAAATTTGAGGAAAAGTTGGTAAACACACTTTTCTAGATGAGAATTATGTGCTGAACACGAAAATTTTGTTTACCAAGGTTGGTTCCACCATTTAGACCTTGAAATCAGCCGTTAAGGTTAGTATTAATAAATTGTGACATGAAAACGAGGCTGCATGTTGTATGAGGATGTAGAGTACTCTCTAACGGTTAAAATTCGTTCAGATCAACAGGTGACTGATACAACTTATTACTTACAGTACCTCGCAGAAACCGTCTGAAAATCACGTGATTTTTCTAGTCACGTGACCATTGAAAACGGGGTTATAGGCTATTCAGAATTTTGACAAATTTGACGGCACAGTAAAAAAAGAAACAAAATTACCAATCCAGCAATTCGCTCCAATAGTTACAGCAGCTATAGAAATTTAATTTTCAGCTATTTCCTAAGATATTTACAGTAAGTTTGCGATCTATATATTGCGGACACCTTACTTCCATTTTCAAGTATTGAATTTCTAGATGTTTGCAAAATCCTTGAAATAATTAACAAAAACTGCATTTTCTTAAAACTACTTTTAACTTTCACGCCCTAACCATTCTGGATACATGCTCTACTTATAACTAAGAAGGAAGGTCATAACATTCGATTGATTGCAGCCATTTTAGATGCGTCTGATGTCAGCTTCTGAAACATATTTAAGACCTAAATTGATATTGTAAACATCAGACATCCTACAGGACGAAAATTAAAAAAACCCGTTATTAGTCCATAGACAATTATAAAACAAGAATAAAAATTTGTTAGAGACGCTAAACGCTTTGTTCTGCTGAACTGTACCATTTACTGTCCTTGGTTTGCAATGACATTACCATCAACTTCATTTCTGCAATTGAGATCTTCAGTGCTTCTGCATTTTCATGCTCCTGTACACGGCAGTCTAACATTCCGGCAGCTGAACCTATTTGTTGAACATCCTGATTTGCAGCTACAGGTAATCATCTCGGTACAGCTTTCGGGTACAGGCTAGGGGCAAGAGTCATTAACTTAGGCACGAGCTTTCCGTCATCAGAATTAGTCCATCCCATAGTTTCTGGAAGTGGGAGGGTGGGGTTCGTTTTATGGGCTTGTCTCCATAACATTGCTTGAAAGCGTGCGCTAGTAATATGCCATCATGCTGCATCACTTGTGTGGGGAAGTGCCTCTGGGAATCGGCACCAACCAAACAACGTCGCACGTGCTTTATCACATCCCTCTGCATTAGCAGCATTGTACACTGCAAATGAATTTTTCTACGGACTTCACAGTCGTGTCATCCAGGTCTCCATCTGCAAAACTTTCCAATAGCGTTTGGTGATGAGGTGATGAGCAAATGCCTTCCAGGCAGTTTTCTTGCTATGCTTAGCAAAGAAAGAGACCGTATCACAGCCTTTTAGCGCATGAAAAGGAAAGATGGCTTCCCTGTACCCATCAAATGCAACTTCTATCCGGTCATAGTCCTTTCCACAGACAAGGGCAGCTTTCAAAAATCTATCTACGAGATCGTCGAATTTGTTACACTCTGATGGTCTTCCTAGAGCCATGACTAATTCTTGACCGGCAATTACTATTGTCGATCGTCCTGGGACTGGTGTGACCCGAGGATGTTCCATCCCACCCAAGACAGCAGCTCTATTATCACGGATTGATTTCCAGATTGTGGCTGACCATTGGTATCTGCGATAGCAAGCGAAACAGAGACTAACTCGTAGCTGAAGCAAATCTACTCTTCTACCAGCATCGTACGCTGTAATGATGCGCTGGAGGATCATTCTGTCAGTTTCGATAGCGGCAGCCTTTTCTCTTTCTTTCTTTTCAGCCTCATAAGGAGAAACAAATGTCACGGCTTTACTTTTGGGAAGAGGATCCCTAAGCTTCTTACAATTCTCATCTTCGTTTGGGATCATAAGTCTTTCTTTAACAAAAGTATCCAGTTGTTTTTTGCCGAGGCTGCCTGCTTTCAACAGAGATTCTCATCTATCTGTGTGGTTGCCACGTCCTTAGTAACCATGTTCTTTAATCTCTCAAGAACCGTTTCTGCTTGTTGATTGACGTTGAAGATGTCAGTTTGCCTGATGCAGCAACAAGCCACAACAACACTGCGGCACGGTCATCTTTAGCTATATCTATTGATCGAGATATACTTCGTTAAAATTAGCAATTTCACGGAATGATACTTGCCCTCAGCCACAATTAGGTCATTCACACCCGACACACGCAAGGAAAGGTCGTGGTCACACATTGCTGCAACAAGTATCCGCTGACTCATTTTAAACGTTGTCATTGAGAACAGTATTTGCTTTTTAAGCATTGACCCGTCTTAACATAAAATACACAGTTCCCATTCGATAGAAGAGTTTTGCTGCGGAGAGCTGAACTTGCAGCCATTTCTGGCAGTGGATGGGTATCCTTCGACGAATCAAGCGATTTCCTTAATCTACTTAATTATATCTTACCCTTATCAGTCTACTTTGCATAGCAGCTCTTGTGCCAGCTTAAATCCTCAGCTTTGTTTTGCTTCGATTGCCTCCAATATCGCGTCTGTTACATCTGTATTGTTTGTGTCTCCTAATTTTCTTTGTTCTTCAGAGGACTCTTTCAGTAACGCAGGCCTTGCTGTATTGCGTTAAAGAAGATATCTTTTTTCGTTTCCTGGCATATAATGCATTTACTGAAGGAGAGTGTAAGGGCAGATCTCTTCCAACTTAGCCGCTTCTCCAACATTAAAAATCATGTAATCCACGAAAACAATCTTTCCATGCAACTCTCCATTATAAAAGTAACTCGAATGAGCAGAATGGTTTTTGGAATGAAACGTAGAGCCTGACTTTCGTTTTCTAGCCAGGGCCAACGCTTCATGCATTTATATGGGTTTGTTTGGTTTTTTTTGGCCCAGCAAAAAGGGTTTTTAAAAACAAGTTATCCATCCATCAAAAATCACAATGCTGGAGAAGTGACTTGCTTAAAGCTTTACTGTTAAAAAGTACTTAAAAGATCGACTACATAAAATCATTAATTAAATGGAGGAAAACGAAAAATAAAATTCAGCGGCTACCTTTCTGTTGAAACAAACATATGACACGCTGCACTGACTTTCGTTTCCTAGGCAAAGTCAAAGCTTCAAGCATTAAAATGGGTTTACTTATTTGATAATCTTCGTAGCAAAAGAACATTTTTTACAAGTTTTCCATCCATTAACGTTGGGGTAGTGATTTGTTTTAAGCTATACATTGGTAAGAAGATGGATGATATAAAATCGTTGAATGAGGGAAACACAACGCAGGATAAAACTTGGCGCAACCTTTTTGCTGCCAGATCTATTTTTTTTTAATGCTCGCACCAGATGTCACTAGTCCTGATGAAGACCTTTTGTACTAACTGAAATATATTCCTTATTAAAAATACCCTTGGCATAGTTCATCCTAAATCAAAACTGGTTTTATTTAAAAGAAAATGTTTCCTTCAGATAGTTATACGACGAACACACTCGTCAACTTCTTTTCAGGTTTCAGCCGTCTATTAGTTTATTTCATAACAAAAAAAAATTACAGTTAGCTAATTTGGGGCAATAATTTGAGTCAAATGTGGTTTTGAAAAGCGGGGAAAATTTTAGCCTCGTTTCCATGTCCAGAAATAAGCTCATTTTTTTCGAGGTCAGATTTTGGGGTTAAAAACTCAAAATCAAGCTTGGTAAACAAATTTTTGGTGTTCAGCACGTAATTTTCATCTAGAAAAAAGTATTTACCAACTTTTCCTCGAGTTTGCCGACAGAAGTTTTATTAGCGGCTTTTTACCAAAAGTTGTCCCAGTCTAATTCTAGTAAATTTGTAAAAGGACTGTGAAAACTGTGAAAAAGCCATAAGAAAACAATAATTTGGATCTGATCCATGAATTTCATGACTTAAAGGTATCGTCGTAGAAATCAAGAAGAAATTATGGATTTTCTAGTAACTGATGAGTGCTATCACATTTTGCTGTAGGAAGTTGGATTAGAATCTATGAAGGTCTGCGTTAAAGACCTCAGTGGATTAGGATCGAGTCATGATCCCTTGATTGTCAGCTACTCTGTTACTGGAGGTTGTTTATAATTTTCCTATTGTAATGATAACTATTTCTAGTAAGAACTATTGTTATTTTTATTATCATTATTACTATTATTTTTATTGATACCTTTTAGAAGTTCTTATATGTAGGAATACATTTCATGACATAATTAAAGAAACACTGGAGTAAAAACCCTGATATACCTTATTCATGTTACACTCTATCTTTGCACGAACTTTAAGACTGATCATTGATGGGATAAGAGCAATTAGAGGGCACACAAGTAATAAAATTGCCAATACTAGTAATAGAGTAATCGCGGTCGGGTTTGTTTATTCCCTCAAAAAAAAAAAAAAAGACGACCATTTTTGTCACGCAAAATGCAAAATGTAAACTTTGACAAGTTTTACGTCACAATTCCTTGCTGTGAAGATTTCTACTGTAACATTGCTTTAATTTATTCCATCAGTCCTTAAGCGCGTGCAGAGATGGCGGGTATCGTTAATAAGGTCTACTAAGGATAAAAAAAATAACATTAGTTGAGGTACCTACAAGCAAACATGTTACTACTACTGAACAGTAACTTAGTTTTAATTGAAATATGAAAAACATATTAGACATTTATGTTTTTTTCCAAATGGATAACTACTCAATATTATGTTTCTTCTTTCTTGGTACAGACCTTAATCCTTGCCTTAATGTGCATTGCCCACGATTTGGAGTCTGCAGGACCTACAGTCCGCATGACGCTCGCTGTGAGTGCGATGACCAATGCCCCTCATATAAAGATCCAGTGTGCACTGCAAACGGAACAACTTACGACAACCGATGTTGGCATAAGTTAAGCTATTGCAGAGGACTTGAAAATAATCTGGTTTATCACCCTGGAAGCTGTGAAGGTATAACGAAAAATAATTTCAACGATTTTGTTTTGGCTGTATTTGCCACATAAAATACTCTGGGAGTTAAGCTCTCGATGGCTTAGAATTATAGCTGTTAACGTTGGCTCAAAATTGATTGGCTTCAAGCTATGATGTTTATGACTTTTCGTTACTTTTAAGCTCGCTTTTATCTCCTCAAGCAGGCTAAACAGCAATAGACAGCTGTAACAAGCTGCTTCGTCTCTCTGCTTTGGCAAACAAACATATAGCAGCACAGACTATAGTCGATGTTTGATCTGTGTAAGATCTTTTATTCTCTTTTGTCTTGCAATTTAGTTTTTATCGCGTAAAATTAGTTTTTCACAAATTTGCTCGCGGCAAATATTGTGCAAAAAAGTGCAAAAGAGGAGGAAATCAAAGACAAAGGTAGTAAATATCACATTTACATACCAGTTTACATGGAGTTGCATAATTGAGGGCAAATGCAGTATTTACTATCTTTGCCCTTGATTTCATCCTCTTTTGCACTTTTTTTGTACCTTATTAGCACTGAGTGAATTTGCTGAAAATCAAATATTTCCCGCAGTGGCGCGGGCTCCCAATATACTGGCATATGTTTATCTTTATACTGGCATATGTTTATCTTGGGCACTGAAACCAGCACGCAATATTAAGCAGCCGCTATACATTTCCTTGTTGAAAGGTAGCCGACATTACAAGTTATAGCCTAGTTTTAGTTCCGTTTCCACGCTTTTTTTATCACCACCCTTCGCCGCTTAGAGCTGCACTACAACGCATGCTAGGGAAGCTACGTGAGCGATAATGCTTAAAGAGCACAGTGATGCTTCCTTATAAAGTAATTAAGAGCGTGTCTCCGTAAAAACCGACCAGTGATTTTGGATCAAAAAATTAATTTCCCTTATATTCTGGGATATTAAAGCCTTGACCTTAGTAGTTACAAAAATACATTTCGTTTGACCGAAAGTGATAAATATATTTTTTTACGAATTTTTGAATTTCCGGACGATTAGCGCTGGCGTCATAGCCTTTCAAACTGCAAAAATCGCTAATATTGACCGCGCTCTAGAAAACGAACAACTCGCTCAAAAAGCCTGATTTTCTTTTCCGTATACAGATACACCACTGTAGATTTCCTAGCCATATCACAGTTCCGAATTATTCGTTTATTTCAACGGCAATGATTTTTTCCCCAGCACGTGTTTTCGGCTTTCCATCAAAACACGAAAGTAGCTCAACTTTGAGGGTAATTTTAAAAAGTGTGGCACCTGTCTGAACTTCGCTATCTGTATGAATACAATCTAGGAATGATAGTAAAACACAAAAAGGAATAACATTTTTGTGCTCTCCACGTTTTCAGAAGAGACCGCCGTTTGAATTTCCAGAAATTTCGTAAACTTGATAATTAACGAACACTCGCCTTGTCGATCTGCTTGTCAAGGTCCAACTTCATTTGATGGCGTGATGTATCTTATCCAAGTTCTTTCACATTTTAAGGTTATTTCTCAATCATCTGAAACTATATTGGCCGTTGATTCCATGTCCTTTGTCCGTTTAAAGAAGTTATCTGGTTTATAAAATGGCAGCCATCCGCGAGCGTGACTGGTTCGTGACACCGTCCTGAAAGGTCTTTTGCTAAAATTAGTTGGGTGCAATCTTGTTCATTGAGATTATACTCTTCAAGACATCGCAGTGAAATTTGTAGGGCAAATAAAACACGTTCCTTTGCAAATACGACGCGATGAGTCGCTGACAAAGCGTTTTAACCAAGTCTTCTGACAAACTCGAAAAATGCGTGACTTTGTATTTCATCCCCAGTTCTCCTGCATTGGGTGATGACCTGAACAAATACTACCTCGTTCACTTGTTTATTAACTTCTTAGGTTGTAATGTCCCTCTTGGTTTTTGTAGAGGATATTTTTGCTCCTGAAGTAGCCGCTTTAACTCTAAAAACATCGAATTTTTTGTTTAAAACCTGTCCTTCAACGGCATCTTTTATCTAGTTTGTATAAAAGTAATAGAGAGCGTCATCAGTTGCGAGGGTGACACGGTTGTTTCGTAACATTTTCTGTAAAGTTCGATGTAATTAACATTGAATCGCCATACTTCGATACATTTTCTTCTTCAGCTTAACATAAACACACTGACAAAAATGGTTCAACACATTTCAGCTAAGAGAATTGAGAAACCATGGCCACGCTACTACAGTTTCCACGTCCTTCCCAGGACCCCACGCTGCGCGGAAATTCATTGAACTGGACCCTGGCATTCACATTCCGTGCTGTTCTCATATCCTTTTCAACCTGAACAGGGTCCGCCTTGCGGCCAGTTCGCTCACCAATTTCAAACTTGGCTGTAAGATATTCTTTAACCTCACGAGAAAACCGGATGGAACCTGCGTGGGCCTTGCTTAGTGCCCATCCCATCTGCAGGGTTTCTACGTCAGTTGATGATTCGGACGCCAACATAAATGGTGTAGATTTTTTCACAGCCACATCCACTGATGTAAATTTTGTTGCCCAGTCCTTTCTGATCTTGTTTACTCAAGTCTGGGCTTAGAGAAGATAATGTCACAGTTTTTCAAATTTCAATGACCATGAAAGTCAGATTCCGGGTGGTTAGTTAATCAATTGTGGCTCTGAAAAAATTTGAAGGAAAAAAAACTACGAATTTTTAAGAAAATGCTGTTTTCGTGAGAAGGCTCTTAAACGCTGACAAACGTCAACAAATAGCGAAAACTATAATTTCTATATGTTTGCTTTGCTCGAAATCGCGCGCATTTACAAGGCCCTAAAGCTCTTTGGTGACTTGCAAGGACCCATCTGTTATAACGATGCCCAGAATAAAGGGATGAATCTCATAGTTTATTAGATATAATCGTGTACAGTTTGCTTATCATTTTCGCATAAATTATGACCTAAATTTGGAAACCGCTGAATTTCTCGAATTGGGTCTTTGCGATTTTGGTTGGGCAAGGCACTAATGCGCACTATGTGTAGCCGAGAAATTTTCACGAAAAAATACCGGCAACAGCAGATTTTTGACTCAGACCTCAAAGGGGCGTGGCATTATAACCACATGACATTTACTCCGATCGCCAAAAATTTTATCTTATATTGTAGATTGATCTATACGTTATACATTCTATGTGTTAGACTTACGATAAAAGTAAAGGTGGGGATACCAGAGAGCTTCAAAGTAGGATGGTACCCCCCCCCCCCCAAAAAAAAAACTGGGTCGAGTCACCTTAAACACACCTTGTCTCTTCATATTCCCCTAATTTCTCACTCTCAGTGTTTTCCCCTCGCCAACGTTTATTTTCCTCATATTTTTGTCTTTGCTTCTTGACACAAGTAGTGCAAATTGCTGTGCATTAAAAAGTATCACAATGATGAATTTAACTTTTAGTCAAAGTCGATTCGTAGCGTAAAATTTATTTTTAGAACCAACACTGAATTGATAATTGACAACTGGCAAAATAAACTCAAAACAGTTTTTAATCTCGCGGTTAGGTCTTGAGGTGTTGGAAAAATAGTTTTCAGGATATAGCATATAGCAGGGTTAAAAAACGTTTCAAATACAAAATCCCCGATACTCACAAAATAGGGTTTTTAAAGAAGGGGAACATTGCCAAGTGTTTCGCATAATTTCGTGGGTCACGTGCATGTAGGCTACTTTACCGAAATTATCTCTTACTTTGAAAAATAGAACGCTATGAATCAACGTAAAAAATAGACAGTCCTGTAAAGACATTCTAAGCACCTTTTAAATCTCGCAAAAATCCAGGAATACTTGTGTATTTTTGAACGTCTGTGTTGTAACAAATATACTTGTCCTAATTATACTAACGTGCTTGACCAAACAATGTAAAACAAGAATGTTCATTTCATACTTGTTATTTACTCAATCCAAGATTTCTACACTTACATCGTGGCACTGTTGCCAAAAAATATAACTGGTTATGATATAAATAGCCGGAAAAATAAACACCTTATGGAACGATTCCCTTTCAAGGTTTTACAACAACGTTGAATGGTTATTCCCTCGACCTTCTCTTTTAGTCTTTATTTATAATTAGATTTAAAGTTTGTTACACAATTCTGAATACTTGACCATGACATTTACCTTGGTTTTAAGAGTTCTTTTATTCTATTGAAAGTTAAAAAGTAAAGGCGCCTCACATACGTCGGTACCTCGAAATGATCATTTCATCATTATCTGAAAGACAAACCTTTTTAAACGCCCTCTTCATCAGTACTCCGTTTTACGGGTATTTAAGCTACTTGAAGCTACACGGAAAGAATTTCTCACACCTGGCCATGGACATCAATCTCAAGACCTCTCACACAGAAGACTCCAAGGGCTACGCAATAACCAACTGTGTCAATCGTTGCTCCTCAAAAAAGGGAAAACGTAAAATATTGTGTAGTAGAATGCCTACCTGACCCAATGGGAATTGTGATTCCAAAAATTGCGTGAATATTCTTGGACATCTCCAAGTTGATAACATGATTATTTTTTAGCTTTTTCCTTGCTCCTGAATGAAGAGGATATTGACATGTCCTCAAAGGACGCCAGTTGCGACCCAAATTATGTCTGTGTTTTCGACACACGAACATTTCTTCTTGCCGGTGTTTTGGCACATCGAATAGCCCCGCCCTGACTAGTATCAGTTCGTACTCCATCATTCCAGATAGTTTTGAAAGATGGCATGTCTTCAAGTGGATCGTTATATCTTCCTGGCATTCTCGCAACCTACATACTGTATCCGAACCTCGAAAACCTCCACAACTAGATTTTCCGAAGCCCGAGAAAGAACACTTTACTGTATCAGTAGCCATGTTACCCCTTGTTTGATTTGTGTCCAGTCCAGAAGGACTGGGGATGAAATACAAAAAGTCGCGCAAATTTCAACTTTAATCTGAACTGGGTTAAATCGCCTTGTTAGCGACTCGTCGCGTTTTATTTGCAAAGAAAAGTGTTTTATTTGCTCTACAAATTTCCCCGCGATGTCTTAAAGAGTAATCTCAATGAACAAGATTGCATCCAACTAATTTTAGCAAAAGACCTTTCAGGACGGTGTCACGAACCAGTCACGCTGGCGGATACTGCCATTTTATAAACAAGATAACTTCTTAAAACGAACCAAGGACATGGAATCAACGGCCAATATAGTTTCAGATGATTAAGAAATAACCTTAAAATGTGAAAGAACTTGGATAAGACCCATCAAGCCATCAAATGAAGTTGGACTTTGACAAGAAGATCGACAAGGCGAGTGTTCGTTAATTATCAAGTTTACGAAATTTCTGGAAATTCAAACGGCGGCCTATTCTGAAAACGTGGAGAGCACAAAAATGTTATTCCTTGTTGAGTTTTATTATCATTCCTAGATTGTATTCATACAGATAGCGAAGTTCAGACAGGTGCCACACTTTTTAAAATTACCCTCAAAGTTGAGCTACTTTCGTGTTTAGATGGAAAGCCGAAAACACGTGCTGGGGAAAAAGTCATTGCCGTTGGAAATAAACAAATAATTCGGAACTGTGATACGGCTAGGAAATATACAGTGGTGTATCTGTATACGGAAAAGAAAATCAGTCTTTTTAAGCCAGGTGTTTGTTTTCTAGAGAGCGGTCAACATTAGCGATTTTCGCACTTTGAACGGCTATGGCGCCGACGCTGCCCGCCCGGAAATTCAAAAATTCGTAAAAAAATATATTTATCACTTTCGGTCAAACGAAATGCATTTTTGCAACTACTAAGGTGGAGGCTTTAATATCCCAGAATATAAGGAAAATTAATTTTTTGATCCAAAATCACTGGTCGGTTTTTACGGAGACACGCTCTTAATTTATTACAAAACAGGTTTTCCGATTGTTCGGGGCCGTGTAGATCTGCTACAGGTTCCAAAATGGTCAGATTCAAACTGTCAGACAGTCACTTTTCCTCCATACCGGTTTTATCCGGATAAACAAGTTCATGTTCTAATAACCGTCAATCACATGAAGCTGAATGACTCTGTGACAGTCCACGACGCTGTTACTTCATGGACAGAAAGTATCAACACAAAAAACTTCACCGTCTGTGTCATGCAAACCGGGAGGAAAGAAGAAGGCGCGAATCCATTTGCCACCATTGATTGGGTGGCTTATCAAGGAGCACCACCCGAAGGCTTGACGGGAACGGTTGAGTTGCAGAAATGGTGGTCTGGTACCAACTGCGCAGATGTAACCTTTCCTACGGTGAGATGGGAATGTACATACTAAATTAAATAATTGATGCAAGTTCAATTGAGGTCTCCATGACGAATGTTAGACTTTCATTCATGTGACATCTTTAACCCATGTCTTGAAAAAAAAAAACAACAACAACAACAACAACAACACCAAAAACAGCAAAAAGCAAAACAAATAAATAGTAAATAATTGGAAAATTGAGTCTTGTGACCCTTAGCCTAAACATGACAGATTTAATCACGACTGGTCTGCGTAACAAAAGAAGAAAAACATCAAGAGCGAAACTGTGAAGGAGAGACCTCCTTAACATCCATTTCAACAAAATGAAGCGCTAATCTGATACAAAGAAGCAGCTTATAACAACAACAACAAAACAACAACAACAACAAAACAAAAACACAAAATATTTGTTTATCTATTTGAACTAACTGAATGTGGAAAGACAAGAATTCACATCTTAAGTTAAAGAACATATTAAAACTTTCCTTGAACTAGAAGAATGAGACACAAAGTTAACAAAAAATAACCGATCATTACGAGGTAACTGGTGAGATGATTGCTAGATCCTCTAAAAAGTTGTGACCGACTTAGCGACTTAGTTAACAAGACAACATTAGGTAACAAGTAAGAATGGGAACTTACTTAGTGGTTAGTTTCAAGTAATTTTGCTGCTATATTTAAAAAAAGCTGTTTTGATTGTTGTTATTGCTTTTTCTTCAGGGCAAGTTTGCCGAGGCGCCAATAGTCCTTGTGACGTCAGAGCACCTGAGGACTGGTAAAGAGTATGATGCTGCTCTCATTTGGATTGAAGACGTAACAAAGGACTCAGTTAAAGTCTGTCTTCGTGAAATGCAAAACTTTGACGGTAGACACCAAGATATCACTGTGGTACGTTCATAGTCAGATTTTAAAAAACTGGAACGCGAATGTCCACAAAATTTGTGAGGAATGCTCGCCTGGTTTTGTTAAAAATAACAGCGTTAAGGGGAAAAAGCATTGCTAATTAAAAATTGTCCGGTCGATCGCGAGTGATGATCAGTCAAACGAAAGGCAATGCAGAAAGAAAAACATAAAAAGAAACGGAAATAATAATAATAATAATAATAATAATAATAATAATAATAATAATAACAACAATAATACTAATGAATAATAATAATAATAATAATAATAATAATAATAATAATGAATAATAATAATAATAATAATAATAATAATAATAATGAATAATAATAATAATAATAATAATAATAAGAAGAAATGAATTGAATAGCATTACGGGCGGTGAATTTTAAATAGCACACAAATTGGTCTTCCTTGTCCCCATGCCTCCCTTCACGCTCTTTCGTGATTCGCCTGATGTCTCAAAAAAATGTGGATTTGCATCCTTTTCTTGAGTCTTTGCGCTCTTTGTTATGTCACAACTTCATAGAGTTCAAAATACTTAGATTCAAAGGGGCCTAAAAATGATGAGTTTATTTGAATTTTTTGTTGGTGTAATACGATTCTGTCACAAGACTATGGGTGGCATCACTTTTGTTTTTACCTCTTTTCACAGAACTGGTTTGCCTTCTCTAAACTGCACAAGCCTCTTTTCACCGAACATGGTGTCATAAGTTTTCCAAATACGAAGCCACCTTTGGATAAAATGAACAATGCTTATTGCCAGGTGAGAAAAGGATTCTTTGCAAAAGCAGTGAGTAGCATGCTGTTCACAGCATTTTCCCTCACAGATATATGGCTTACTTACATCCTTGTTTATATTTTCAAAACACTTTTAGTCATATACACTTTACGCAATAGAGATCAAAGTGACTAGAAAAGTAAAGAAGCTGGTCCACTAAACAATACTTTAAGACAAGAGGTAAAAAACTACAGACTGATAACGTCCCTCTTAACCATCGACAAAGTGTTTGAGCAACTGCTCTGTAAACAGGTGACTGTGAAACTCGACCACATCTTTTCTAGCCTAAGCACTGCTTACAGAAAGGGACACAGCTGTGAGACCACTCTACTACGTTTGAATGAGGACTGGAAGCTAGCAATAGACAGAAAAGAGCTAGTATGTATTCTATCGACTGATATGAGTAAAGCGTTTGACTCTCTCAGCCACTCGCCGACACTAACAAAGCTTGAAGCGTACGGTTTTGAGTCCTCAGCGTTGGACCTCACGCGATCATTCTTTAACAACCACCAAAATGTTCAACCCCCTGCTCTGGAACGTATTTCCGAATGACCTGCCCTGCTCCATAACTACCGCTAAACTTTCGATATATGTAGACGAGCACCAGTTGTACACCTCACGGGCTAATTTTACAGCTGAAAGGGAAGCCTTATAGCAGGAAGATCAACTTGCCGCGTCTTGGTATCGTGATAATGTTCTACTCACAAATCCTGACAAATTCCAGGCGATGATCCTTTATAATAGAGATATTGACATTGAAGGATAATACACTGATATAAGCATAGATGGTAGCTAGGGTCATTACAAACACAGATTACATCAAACTACTTGGCGTCCACATTGATTGTAGTACGAACTTCAGTAATCATATTAGTGAACTGTGTGAGAAAGTCAGTAAGAAAGTAGGGATATCCTAATGCGCCTGCCCAAAATTGTTTCCTGCTCAGCTGTAAGTCTTCTATAAGTCTTCCATCCTGCCTTAATACCTTACCTACTGCCAGCTGGTATGGCACTTCTGCAAGGCCTCAGACAGCAGGAAAATAGAACGCCTTCAAGAATGTGCGTTAAGAACGGTATACAGAACTAAGTCTGCCTCTTAGCAGACAATACTAAAATATCAGGACTAACCAAGTTGCAAAATCGTAGATTGCAGGATATAGCAATACTTTTGTACAAAGTCAAGAACAACCTCGCCCCTATCGACTTAGCAGAACTTTTCAATTTAAATGATTCGAGGTATTCTCTGCGAAACAAGGACTTTCATTTACCTCCTAGATTCAATACTGAAACCCACGGCAAACATTCGTTTCGTTACTTTGGACCTTTACTATGGAAGAGACTAAACAACAAAGTCAAGTAATCACCTAGTCTTCAGTCTTTCAAGAACGCTATCAGATATTTAGATATTTCTGGTATTTTATTATTTTTTCATTATTAGCTTCGCCAAAAAAACAAACAAACAAGCAAACAAACAGAAAGAACATTGGGTCAAGATACTAATAAAAAAATAAAAGCAAGAAATATTAAAAAACACAGCGATAGAAGAAAAACTACAGCTAGTATACTTACAACAAGTTATTGGACGAGACAAGGGACGAGCACTGTTACATTTTAAACAGATAGACTTGAACGAACGTGGGTCTTTGCAATCATAAGAAACAGCTAACGCGGACTTATAGTAATTAAAAATAACCTATTTAAAGGAGGCTAAGGTCGATGAGCTCAAATCTAGTTCATCCACTAAACAATTCCAAATTCCACTGGTTGTAATGAGAAAGGATTTCTGGTACGTAGTAGTTTTACATTTCTTAATTATGTATTTATTAACATTGCTGGTTGACGATCTAGTGCGTCTACCGTATTTGCGAACTTCAGGTTAGGACAGAGGAGTTCACGTTCAAGACCGTGTGTCAATTTAAAAAAAAAAAAAAAAAGTTAGATCTAAAAGTTCATGCCAGTAACAAATAGGTATTAGGTTTAGAGTTTGGAAACGAGACTTAAAACTTATATTAGAAGAATAAGTCGTGCGTCTTTGGACACGCTCAAGCTTGACAATGAGCTCGATGGACTGCGGGGCCCAAATTTGGGTGGCGTATCTAGGGCTGGGTATAGCGTTCCTCTTACGTCGGTTCTAAGTATGAACCTCGTGTTCCTCTTTAAGTATAAACTCGTTTATTAGCACGCGAAGATTGTTCGTTTACTTGTTTGTACCATGTCAGATCCTTACTAATCCATACGCCCATATCTTTTTCTGCAACATATCACAAGTGCGGTGTTGTTGAGTTTGTAAGAGGATAAGATCGGCTTTGTTTTCCTCTTTATGTGCTGCGTCTTACACACTTAGCTTCGTTAAAAGAAGACCGGATGATTGAGACCAAGTTACAAGCTTACCAAGGTCTTTCTGGAGAGAAGAGACGCCCCTCAAATTCTTAATCTCTCTGAATATTTTTGTGTCGTCAGCAAACATCATTACTCGACTACTAGAACTGATGACTTCAGGAAGGTCGCTGAAGTATAAGAGGAAGAGCCGGCTGGTCCAGAGGTAACAGGAAGATCCTCTGAAGCGGCGCCGAGTACCCGTAACGCGTTGGTGTCGACCTGACAGTTAAGAGCAGAACCAGTTAAGCAGGTTGCCACCCATACCGGCCTGGATTAGCTTATGGACGAAGCGCCTGGGACTGACTTTGTCGAAAGCTTTTGACATATCAAGGTAGATGGTGTCAACCTGGCCGCCACTATCTAAATTAGTGAACCAATGTGGCCAAAAGCCTCAAGCAAGTTGGTGACGCACGATCTTCCAGTACAAAAACCATGTTGTTTAGGTGAAATTACATGGTACAGGTGGTCCTTGATGCTATTCAACACACAACGCTCAAAGACCTTGGACACTATTGGGAGTAGAGAGATGGGACGGTCATTTTCCACGTGGTCTTTTGCACCCTTTTCGTGGACATGCACGACGTTAGCTAGTTTCCAGTCCCTCGGGAGAGACCCTAGTTGAAGTGATTTGTTGAAGACCCTACATAAGGAAGGAGCAATCACTGAGGCAGTCTCCTTGAGCAATTTAGCAGGGATTTCGTCCGCCCTGTGGCTTTATCGACTTCTAGTGCTTTGAATGCAGCTAGAATCGTGGATTCATTGAGAGTTAGATCGGATATAATAGTGTCCGAACGTATGCACGCTGTCTTCTACACTGCGCTGTCGATAGTAAATACAGAGGCAAAAAAAACTGTTAAACAGGTCAGCTATTCCCGCAGGTGTATCAGCACTTACTCTTGAAGGATTCTGTGACTGGTCAGCGGAGTAGTCTGGGACGGTTACCATGGAAACACGGCCTGGGATGGGATGAGATTTAGAGTTAAGCTTCAAATTGACCATAAGCGCTTGAGATTGAATCTAAAGCCAGTGTCTATGGAGTCGCAAAAGTGATCACGGTTTTAGCGAAGCAGTTTCTTAACTTGCGCCCGCAGAGACTTAAACTTATCCCTCAGGCGGGCGTTCGGATGTGAGTTAAGTTTTTGGCGAACTGAGCTCTTTTTCTTGATAAGGTTTAAAATGTTACTATCTATCCAAGGAAGCGGGTTACGGCCTTTCAGTCTCTTCAATGCCACGAAGTCCTCGACAGCAGCTAGTAATAAGTCCTTCCAGCACCGCCCGTCATCATCTATATTGTTATGGCCCACAATAGAAGAGAGATTGATTGCCGAGAGAGCTTCACGCAAACCTTCAAAATCACCAATTGCGTACTCGTGGACATATTTGCGCGGGTGTGAGGACGCATTAACAAAAGAATTGTACTTAAACAGGACTACACAATGATCCGTAAACACATCGGCTTTATCAGGTGAGAACACCTCGGTCACTTTGGTGTGTTCTGGGGCACTTGTTATCACTAGATCAAGAATGTTACTACCGCGAGTCGGTATGTGGTTAATTTGCGTCAAGAAGTGGTCATGTAAGGCCTCGATAAATGGCAGTTGGTTATCACCTGAAGCGCTATTCACGGAGTCCCAGGAGATGTTCGGCAAGTTAATATCACCACAAATTACCATATTTTGAAACTGATTGCAGACTTGATCTAGAAAGGTGTTAAATAAATATACCCAACTAGAGTCTGAATCCGGAGGCCTGTAACAAGAACAGAATAATAATGTAATCTTCGAATCAAATTTAGAAGAAAATAACTGTGACTGTTGTGACCTTTGCAGATCCTAATTTTATGATTTTAAGATTTTTAAGATTTTAATGTGTACTATCATGAATTACTATGTATTTTAGATTAGTGTGCCCAATTAGAATATATCATTATAATTAGTATTATCATAGATTATTATTATTATTATTATGTAATTTTAGATAAGTGCCCCCAATTAGCCATATACGTTTGACACTTAAACAAAGTTCTTATATCTTTTTATATTGTTATATCAGACATATAAAGACATCAAAATGGCAGTTTGTTCTGTTAAAATGATTAATCGCAAATATTGCTTATTCAATTGGGACTTCAAAAATAAACACAATGACGGGAACTGAAGCTTTTAGTGATTAAGGAACAGTGTTAAACGTTTTACGTTTCTCTTCCATGGCAGTTCGTTTCATTCACGAGAGCTTATAACTCGACTCCAACAGTTCTTGTCTCAGCCAATCACAGCACGACGGCATCTGGGAATTCAGCACCAAATCACAACGGAATTACAACTTGGATCGAGGTAAAATTTTCCGTAATTGGGGAGGATTGTGGGGATGTATCGGGGCAAACAAATTTCAAACCAACACTAGACGAAAGATATAACTGAACAGAGACACAGCTTGCTTTAGGCGATGTATAGGTCGATAATAGGTGTGGCGCAAAAATGTACCGAGTGAAGTTGAGATTGCTTATCGGCTTCCTTTTGACGTTAATTATCGAATACGGTTATGGTGTCGGTACAAATAATAATATCTTTAAATTATCAGCAGGGGCCGCGCGCGGTGGGCTCGAACTTCAGATCTGATTGTGCGGTTTTAAACGTTACTTTAGAGCGCTTTCCTTGGACACGAAACTTTGCTCCAATCATTTGGCTGCTTTCTTCATCAACAGGGATCTTTAGCTCCGTCCTTCTGGGCCTCATAGCTCATTTTTGCCACTGCCGTGCCCCTTATCAGGGTAAAAAGGATATTTTGGATAAAATTTCGAACATTAATTCACCATATATTTTTTTTTTATACCTTTGCTATTTCTAAAGGATTCTTTAATTACTTTCATCAAACCACAGTGTTAATTCACGGCGAATCTTCGCATCTCTATGTTACATAAGAAGACGCAGGAGAACGTTTTAAAAATATTCTGGTATTCTCTTCCTATTAATTCAGTTGTTCATGACTACAATTCTAGCTGTACTAAACTACGTTGAGTGCTTATTATTTTTTTTTCCAGAACATGAATACCTCTGGATTCAGAGCCTGTGTCAAGGAATTATACGGGACGAGATATGACCCCTTGTCCGTCGGTTATGCCGTGCTCACAGGTCTGTAATACTACTGAGTTCTCTTATGAAGTATTTTTTAGCAAATGAAAAAAGAAACGCTATTTGTTACCGGATTCATCTGGAAATACTTTGGAAATGCCCCAGACTAATAACATAATGCAAGTTGATGGTTTTGCAAGTCATGGCGGAGACAAGGGAGTGCACCTGTTGACAAAAAAGATTCTTGAAGTTCTTTCACGTTGTAATTTTCCTCTACCCCTCGAAGAATTTCACCGTTTAATTAAAAGTTTTCTTCAAGGATAAATAACGAGGATAAAAGACCTTGCTAGAAATTAAAGGCACCATGCTTAAAAAAATCGTTTGATTTTTGTGTTTCTTTTAAAATAGTACAGTCTGTACATAAAAGTTCGATATATTTTATCTCTATGCGAGTGGTATATCCCTATCGCTAGTCTGCTATCCAATAATATTTTACTAGTACCTTGAAACCATTAAGCTTTGGAAAACAATTTCGAATCACGCTCCTAACAGTACTGCGAGTGAGATGCTGCTAAGGATTTATCAATCCGGCAGTTTATTTGAATGTTTATATTTTTGACGCTTACGTTTATCTGTATTTCGCAGACATATGTGAACCTGGTTGGAACTATTTCAACGGCTTTTGCTATTTCACAAGTAAGACTTGTCAAAATTGGACCACAGCACTGGATAAATGCCGACAAGAAAACTCGGTTCTTGTTGATGTCCAAAATAACGAAGAAAATGTGTTTTTACAGCATCTACACAATGGAGCAAAATGCTGGCTGGGATTGAATGATATTTTTACAGAGGGCTCCTTTACTTGGGCAGATCGTGGTACTGGGAACTTTACAGCTTGGGCTAAAAACCAACCGAACAATTTTCGGGATGAAGACTGTGTGCATACACTTGGTGTTGAATATAAATATGAATGGAATGACGTGAAGTGCAGTGACTGTCATCAGTATACTTGTAAGAAAGGTAAGATGTAATGTATAAGTTTAATAATGAACAAGATAGAAGAAAGTCTACCTAACAAAACGCATTTTGATGTGTTAATCGTGATAAATATATAGTTTTTTTTTTCATTTTGAACAGATCTGAATGAATGCAGTAGGGACAAGTATTACTGCCATCAGGTCGCCAGCTGCACAAATTATCGTGGTTCATTTAATTGCACTTGTGATCAAGGCTACTTTGGAGACGGCTTTGAGTGCGAGCTTAATTACGCAAGTATGATCAGATATAAAATTGCACAGCACTGCATGTTAATGATGAACAGCAGGTTGATTTATAGTAATAGTGCTAGTACTAGTGCTAGTGCTAGTGTCACGCCCTTTTATTGCGGAGCCGTTCTAAGGTTTTTAATGGCGATCATTCCGTAGCTTCTACTGCTTACATTCAACGTCTAAGTATTCGGGTGTCTTTTTGTGATTTCCCAAACTCCCATTCTAAACGAGAGTAGCTGCACAGGCGGCATGGTATCCTCCTCCTTCTTACGAGACTAAACTTTGCTGTTTACTTCTGTGGCCTGGTTAATATTTTGCATATTCGGCCTTATTATTTCCCCTAGTATTAGACTCTTGTTGTGAGGGAAGTCATTCGAGAGCTAATAATATTGTGTTGCAAGGTCAGAATCCGATTCGCACTGAAAAAGAGTATTTAAATTCCCAGGTCGGTTCGTTCACTTTCACTATTAACCGCCGCCCGATTAGCTCAATTGGATAAGCGCAGGTCTGCCAACCGGGAGGCTACCAACTCAGAGTCTTTAAATAACTGAGGAGAAGTTGTTGCCTTGCAAAAGACATCTGCAAACGGTTAAACTTTTTAGTTTTCTCATATAAGGACGATAAACCGACTAGGCCCCGTCTCACAACCGTTGCACATATAAATTTTGTGGGACGTTAAAGAACCCAAGCTCCGTTCGTAAAGAGTACGGGAAACAGTTCCCGGTGTTGTGGTCTATCTGTTATGATGGGCGGGACTGATATGGGCCCGCGGTAATTGGCGCCACGCGCTGTTGCGGTGACGCTGCCGAGAATTGATGAACCTAATTAAGTAAATAAATTACTGATAACTCTGTCTCTAACTTTTGCAGGGGGTTTGAAACGCTCTACTATTGTGGGGAATGATGCTAACTACTTGCAATATTTAAGCACTTGGCTCAAACCCGTTGCTCAGAGCAAATCTTCACGATGGAAGCGATGTTGGCGGGCATCTGTGGATGGCTGGGCTGCCAATACTTTTCATAGCCGATGTGACTACAAAGGACCAACTGTAACAATCATAAGAGTCGGCGGGAAATACATATTTGGAGGCTACACCAGCCTCTCATGGGGTAAGTAGTTTGTTTTTTCTAAAACTGGGCATATTAGCATGTAAAATTGTCTAAGGAAGTACTTGAAGTAGATAATGTTATTACCACGAAGATTACTAATATATAGATTTAGCCAGGGCTAAAAGCGAAGCTCCCATTAATAAATTTATAATTTAAATCAAACAATCAGCTTGCAATCCACAAATCAGTTAACTTAAGGGCACATATGTGACTTTTTAGGGAAAGCTAAGGCTAAGTGATTTTAGAGTGAAAAAAAATCTTACATTGAATTCATAGCCGTATGTATACACCCAAAAGATAACAATCATCTTCGATCCCATTGAGCAGCCATAATGGCTCATGATCACAGTAGATTAGGCCTGGAAAACGAATACTTGGAAAACAAATCAGGCCAAATTTTTTGCGTTCGACGAGTTTACTTAACAAAATCTTGCCAACAACTCTGGGTGCTCGTAAACCAACATTTCATACTTTTTATACATCACATCTGAAGTGAAACAGTAATATGAGGCGCTGTTTTTATCATACAGACCTCACCAAAATGCAGTATTTCACAATTTTTCAAGACAAATTGCACTCATTCAATATTCAGAACCGTACGAAGCACGCGTGGGCTGTTAGCAAAACCGTTAAAAAAATTTCCAAAATCACATATACAGCCAGCCGGTTCTCACTTTTGAGAAGCGCCAAATTTTCAGTGAACATTAAAAGAGTTACGCTTCAACATAGTAAAGAATTTATTGTGTGTGTTTTTTTTTTAATTTAATGGTTTTATAACGATGTGTAATCTTTAAAAGCGTTTGATACGCGCGGCATTACTGCAAAGCGATGTTTATGAACGACTGAAAACAAACGGCAAAGCGATTAAAATTGCAAGAGACTACTAACAATCAATAAAAGAAATGTAATTAGGTGAAACATTTACAGAGACAACAATTTTCAGTCACGAAGACAATTATTAAAGCGTCTCTTTAAGGTGGCTCGACTGGATTTTTTGGGGTTGATACCTCCCAAGTTTGAGCATTAACTACGTCGGCATGAGTAAAGATATCGAAAAAAGGTTACCACAACTGTATTACATAAAGATGAAAATTTCTTAACATCTGGGTTTTATTGCAATCGGAGTCGCCATGGCAACGTAATGACGCCATTACGTTTTTCATTTATCCTTGTGTTTCTCTGTACCAGGAGTTTTTTGAAGAAATCGCTCAAGGGAGTATGTACCTGCCATAACTGCCTCCAATATGACAAAGTTTAAAGAAATTCTATGAGAGCGTTTTCGAAATATTTTGAAATACACTTTTAAGAATCATAAAAACAGTGAAATAGCATGCTAGCCGCTCAATTCGCTAATATATTAAGAAAATGACAAGCTTTCGGAACGCGGCTTCATCTCATAGTGGATTGATTCCATTGAAAACTGCATACAAAAAAATTGCTCTGGGCGATCGCGAGTAAGAAGAATTTTATTAACTTGCATTCAGCTGCTTTTGATACAGTTTTTGGAGGTAATTTGGTCCATGCCTAAAATTTCGCATTTTTCAAAAACCGCTCGATAAATTTTTTTAAATTCGACAATTCCGAGATCAATCGTCAAAAATATTCCTGCAAGTTTCAAGAACATTGAAAACAGGGAAGGCTTTTAAATAGGGACTCAAACATGACCAATTTTCCCCCCAGATTTTGTGTTTACAAGTGAGCGTCTTCATTATTCACTGGCATTGTTTTCAAGTTTCATATGCACGTGCACAACTAGCAAAAATATAAATTTGCATCAAAAAGAACTCTCGATTACTTTCCGAAGAAATATCCGGTATATGCTCATAATTGGCTTGTCATCACAGATAGCAGCGAGAGCCGAAACGGTGAACGTCTCGGCTCATCGTGTAGGGTGCAATACTTAATTATCTTACTCGGGTTATAACATCACAGAAACTCTCACAAAGAGTTGCTCTGATGTTATAATGTATCACTAACCTCTTTACCCGGTAATTAGCATATCCCGAAGATTTAACCGAGGGTCTTTTTTGATGCAAATTCTATCTTTTTGCTAAATGTGCACGTGTATATGAAACTTGAAAACAATGCCAGTGAATAATGAGGACGCTCACTTGTAAACACAAAATCTGTGGGGAAAATTGACTATATTTGAGGCCCTATTTAAAAGCCTTCCCTGTTTTCAATGTTCTTAAACTTGCAGGAATATTTCTTGACGATTGATCTCGAATTGTCGAATTTATAAAAAATTTATCGAGCGGTTTTTGGAAAAATGCGAAATTTTTAGGCATGGACCAAATTACCTCCAAAAACTGTATCAAAAGCAGCTGAATGCAAGTTAATAAAATTCATCTTACTCGCGATCGCCCAGAGCAATTCCCCTCTTTTTTTGTATGCAGTTTTCAATGGAATCAATCCACTATGAGATGAAGCCGCGTTCCCAAAGCTTATCATTTTCTTAATATATCAGCGAATTGAGCGGCTAGCATGCTATTTCACTGTTTTTATGATTCTTAAAAGTGTATTTCAAAATATTTCGAAAACGCTCTCATAGAATTTCTTTAAACTTTGGCATATTGGAGGCAGTTATGGCAGGTACATACTCCCTTAAGCGATTTCTTCAAAAAACTCCTGGTACAGAGAAACACAAGGATAAATGAAAAACGTAATGGCGTCATTACGTTGCCATGGCGACTCCGATCGCAATAAAACCCAGATCATAAGAAATTTTCATCTTTATGTAATACAGTTGTGGTAACCTTTTTTCGATATCTTTACTCATGCCGACGTAGTTAAGGATCAAACTTGGCAGGTATCGCCCTAAAAAAATCCAGTCGAGCCACCTTAAGCTTAAGATTAAAGCTTTTAGCCGGCTTTCTGGTGTTTACTGTTTTCAAAGATGAACTCGAGTCAAGAAAATCGCTTAAAGCTTTCTTTCTACAGCCAAAATTATAACTAAATACTCTTCCGAACGTTTTTTTGTTTCTATTTGCGTAGAGAAAATATCGGCTAAAGGCTTTTTAAAGCTCTTTAAGCTCATATCAAACCTCATACTAGATCAGATCATTGTCTCAGATGTTAATACAAACGAGCATAAACTGGCCTCATAAACTGCGCTCGACTTCATGAAATTAGATATATATATATATATATATATAAAATTGTCCCAAGCATCTCTCTCTCCCGTCCTCATAAACACAAATATATCTTAATCACAAATGAAGACAGAAAACAGTTTCCTTTCAATCCACCTATATTTCGATCACATTCAGTGATCTTCTTCAGGGTGACTAACTAGCCGTTAACGTACAGAACTTTTAAATTGCTGAATTACGAAGGTAACGCGCGCGCATCACAACTGAAATGACTTTTATTTTAAACGTCTAACGGAAAATGTCATAGATGACACTATCATCTCCTGCGCGCGCCCGCGCGCGTCTTGCGGTTCTGGGCGTAAAAACCATCATCCTCATTAAGTCCTTGAGGGCGCAGCGTTCCCAATCTATACATCCACTGTCCCTCCTTCTTCCGCAACTCCCTCTCTCCCATGGCTCTATCTATTAACTGTATAGTTAAATGGCTTAATCCTAAGTGTCCCGAACTATGAAAATGCTGGTAAAGAAAATCGTCATTCCTCTTATTTTCAGAAGACAACTTGAGATGGGCATTGATCCTACTTCTGTGATTATTGAACCTAGACCGAAAAGTAGTGGTAGTGGATCCAACATATTGAATGCCACATACCTTACAAGTAATAAGATAAACCACGTTTTTAGAGTTAAAATTTAAGTTGCAATTAATACGGAATTCCTTCCCATTGGTTTTGCTGCGGAAAGTTCTCCCCACACACTTTGACAAGCAGCGCATTTCTCAACCAAAAATTCAATAAACAAACCAGCCATGAATAACATAAGACAGTTGATAGCAGCTGTATTTCGTTTTATGCATCCAGTTAAAAAAGACAGTAAAAAACATCACAAGTTGACAAAAAACTCAGCTTCAGCTGTCAAAGTAAACAAGTTTCAAGATGCATGAACTCACCTGTCAAATTTTGACCAATCAGAGCATAAAAATTGGACGGTCGTAGAGCGTGATCAACGCGTGACTATGGTGAGAAAAGTGAAAAGCCTCTGTCTTCCCTGCTTGTATTTTAAAATGACTGGCTGAATTTGTGCGTCCGAGATCAGTTTGAAATCAAAATGTTAATAGCGCGGGGCCATAGTGACATTAACACAACACTTTCTGTCATCATTTCATTATTTTACTGCCGTTCTCTTTGCCTTTGTATTTCTCTTTCGCGTTACCTTTGTCTATTCACTCTAGTTCTGTCTCGTTCTGCTTTCTCTCCTTCTTCTTGCTCTGACTCTTCCTACTTGCCTACTTTCCTCGCTAAAATTTTGTCTTCTTCCTCTACTTCTAACGCGCTCTCTTTGGCCATCGTCTTCGCTTGCTCTACGCGTGTTGACTCTGGCTCTCTGCCGTTCACCTCCTCTTTGCTCTCTGCTTAAAACCTGTCGTCTACACGCTAAAATCTCTCTGCTGTTGTTTGTTGACATAATAGCTTTCGTAAGTTGTACTAAAAAGTTATAAAGGCTCTGTCGAAAAATCTTTTTGCCAAGTTGCTTTGAAATTTCTTTTTTCAAAACCAGTTGCGCGACATAATTGCGCGACGTCGCGCTATGCGATTTCCCGCCAAAAAATCTCTACTGTCCCCTACCCCAAGAATCCATGCGGAGTACTTTCCACTACCCGGAAAGTCAGTACGGACGGACGTATGCTGACTTCATAACCAAAATTTCTCGGATGGATAGTTTACCAAATTATGTTAGTTATGGTGCTCCGCTAAAAAAAGTTTATTCACACAACTTTATCAGCCTGGTTCCATTTTAGTAAATTCACCAAATGGGTTGAATTATTATGGGGTTAAATTCGAAAGTCTCTATATTAGATAAAGAAAATTGTTGTCTCGTGTTCACGTACCCCCATACAAATAAAATTAGGACGTTTTACGTCGTATTCGTGCTGCGAATTCGCTGACAATTAAATTCTGTGCTGACGTATTTTCTTTGCAGAGCTGTTCCTCTCTACAGTGTTTTTCAGGCAAAGTATTCCGCTCAAGTGCCGTTGTAGTTTTAAAAAATCAATAAAAATGACTAGAACGCGAATGTGAATTGATCTTAAGTTCCTAAGGCTTCCCTTTCCGGCTCTTACAACTAAAGTGAAAACTGTATGTAAAAGTGCAAGTTAGATGGGGAAAAATTTCTACTTAGTAATCAAGTCTTTTTCTGTTGTAGTTTACACAAAAAAATAAACTGAGAGAGCCTTTTGATCAAAGCTACGTATACTGATATCAGCCTGAGTAATGAATGATTTTCCAGTAATCGGATACCCATGTTTTACGCACAGGATTTTGGGATCGCCAGGGGGCAAACATTGCGAGTCGCTACAAAGAAATGTATGGCGTGGAGTTGTTTCTGCGTTAAAAGCAGTGTCTTTGGACATAGAATGCCGCATTTTGCCGTGATTTTAGGAGAAACGGAGGTGACTAATGTTGGTGCGTTAAAATTTCAAGTTTCTGTGTGATTAATGCGATAAATTCTATCGATAAACACTCCTTGCGTGAGGTTGAGTGTGAAATTTATATTCACTGAATTTACACAGACATGAAGAATTCGAAGAAAAGGTCTCGAAATATATAGTGCAAATTTAGGTATACATGTAGGGGGATTGGCTCATTTAAGCGTTTAAGTTATAATTACGTGTGGTGATATTTACGACGAGTGTAACTATGCTCGGCCGCGATGAGCGCTGTGCGGCTCTTGTTACAAGACGACGATCGTGGGTATGTACGTGGCCATAAAATAAAAAATCCTCCTTTACTTTGGTATAAACAAAGTGACATCTACAAAATATTTCATAAAAAGTACATGGTATTTAACCATTAGTAGATGAGGCAGAAATCGTACAAACGAGTAAGATTTCCGATACAAAAGCGGTGAGTGTGAAAATAAATACCAAGTTGATATGCGAAATTCAGAGATTCTATATCTTCCCTCAACATTATTGGAAAAGGCATTAGAATTCATCGGTTCTCAGGATCATGACAAAACATTTCGCTTGTCTTTTTTTTGGCGAGAAGAAATCAATATACTAATGTGCGGAAGATGTTTTTGTTTTTAAATTTAATGCATATCAAATTCGACAATACATAAGCTTACCTTCGATCGTTGTCACAAACTGACACAGCATTCTGATCGCCGCCGAGCGGAGCGTAATTACACTCGTTGTAAATATGAGCACATGTAAGTACAACTGGAAAGGCTTAAATGAGTCCGCATTCCCCGCTCATTTATACCTAAGTTAGTACTATATATTTCGAGACCATTCAGTAAATTCACAGTCGACCTTTCGCAAGAATCAGTGTTTATCGATAGATTTCATCGCACTGATCCCACAAAAACTTACAATTTCTTCGCACCAACATTAGTCACCTCCGCTGCTCATAAAATCACGGCAAAATGTTGCATTCTCTGTCCAAAGACACTGCTTTTACCGGAGAAACAACTCCACGCCATACATTTCTTTGTAGCGACTCGCAATGTTTGCCCCCTAGCGATCCCAGAATCCTGTGCGCAAAACATGGGTATCCGATTACTGGAAAATCATTCATTGCATGGAATCTTACGTTTCCTGTTTTCACCTCACCTATTGTAAGACGCACAGTCACTTCATTTTATTTTAGCGCACAGACAGTCCAGTCGATGCCCAGGCACTACCAAGATTTTAAGTGTTTTTTTTCGACTATTTTATATCTTAAATGCTGTAGTCAATTACTTAAAGGAGATTGACGCAAATTCATTTTATATCTTTTAAATACATTTTGAATCTTTTTCTTTTAGAATCTTATCGTATCTTTTTCGAGTTTTTATTGTAGTTGTATATTGTAAGCAATTTTATCCTTATTTTTCATTTTGGTTCTATATCGTAATCATTTTTAAAGGGCCCTGTAAGAATTGAGCTTTAACTCTTTATGATGATGATGATGATGATGATGATAATGATAATGGCTTATTAGTGAAAGCTTCAGTATGAATCAGTGTATTCAAAAAAGAAACACAAAGACTGAGATACAACTAACCAGCAGTGGAACCTCGGCATAACGAAGGATCAAGAGACCAACCGATTTGTTCGCTATATAACGAGGTTTCGTTTTATCGAGATTCTTTTCCATATATTTTACTATAACTTGGGTAAAGAAAGTGGCTAGTTACATCAAGGAATTCGTCATACAGAGGTTCGTTAAATCGAGCTTCCACTCGGCTGCAGTAAACAACAACTGAAAAATTCAAGCCTTTGTATCGGGGTGTCGACAATTGAATTTTATTCTGCAATTTATCGCTCTTTTCAATATTTTTTGCGTTTAGCTTTTCAAATAAGGCATGGGTCGCACTTGGCAAATTTCTGGAAGAATTTGTTTACCTTGCGGTAAAAATCTGTCATCGGGGCACATTGCCAAGTGCGACCCCAAGTTTTCAAGTTCGAAAAAACTTTGAAAATCGCAAAAAACGTCAAAGACGCCGTATTGCTTGATTGGGGCAGGCAGATTTTGGAAAACTCGAGCTAAACAATAGGAATCACGGTGGTAAGTGTCAGCACTTGTCAGCGAAACGTGACCAATTTGAAACACGATCAATTTGAAACAATCGTAGAAATTTTCTGATCTTCGCGCTTTCGTTGTGGACGGACGAGGCTACCACTACTTTCCGCCATTTTAACGTTTTTGCGAAAACTCTCTTCGAGCGAGCAACTCATAAGCTTGTAATCCTTCGCTATTTCAACGTTTTTACGGGAACTCAACACAGGCGAGCCAATTATAGTCTACCCAGGCAAGTACCGTCACAGGTTTGTTATTCTCTGAGCTAAATGCAGTCTTTGGAGCCAAGCACTTTATTTTCCTTTTTTCTCCCAATCCTCCTGAAACTGGGAAAGGAGGAAAACGATCATACCCCAAATGATCGGGCTACGAAGAGATAATGTTCTCTGGTATCTGGCCTACTTTAGTTCTATATGTGTCAAAATAACGACAATTAACTCCCACTAGTAAATACTACTGCGACCCTCCTCGATTTGACTAAAAGTTTTCTTTTCCGGTTGCGGTTTCGAATTTTTATGTTTTTTTAGCCGGCAAAGATGAAAACTTTTCCCAAGTGCGACCTATTTCTAAGTACCACTTTATTCCTTCAAAAGTGAATACTTAAGTAAGAACTAGTGATAGTTGACACTACAGCTGCCCCCGCTCTGTATATTGTCGGTCAATAGCATTCTTGCTCGTTGTGTAGCTCTTTGAAATACACCGATTCATAAGGAAGATTTTCACACCCATTCCATACAATATGCACAGTTTCAGGTCGATTTACACAGCTTTGATCGAAGCATTCTCAGTTGCGAGAACAGTTTATTCTAAACCATAAGAAAAGATTTAAATAGAAGTTGAATTTTTCGCTATTTCTCTTTCACTTTTTACATTCAGTTCATTTTATTTGATGGAAAGGAAGCCTTAGAAATTAAAAGGACGTTTGATCAATTCACACTCGCGCATTCTAGTCTTATTTTAAACTTTATAGCGGAAGGACATCTGTGAGCAGGTAATAAATCAGCACAGAATTTGATTGTTGGGGAATTCCTCGCGGTCCCTGTTCAAGCAAATCGAGATTTTTCCCATAATGACTGTATATTTCAACTGTAAGTACTTTCCTTAATATACGCGCGAGTTACACGTTTCACTTTTTCTTTGCTACTTAAAAATTATAAATCATAATCATTGTAGATTTGAATTTTTAACGAAGTCTGTGCATCGGATCATCCTTTTCATTTCTTATTTTCCCAACAGTTTGCTACGGTTGGCGATATGATTCCCAGGCATTTCTTTTCTCGCTGGTTAACAAGCCAGGATGGGCACCGGTGAGACTGCCTCAGACAGGGCAGTATAGTTACTATAACAGTCATTCCATATACGACATCTCGTCTTATGGACCTACTTTCGGAGGGGGCTGGGACCTTGCCATTTACGACTACGCGTCATCCAGTAGCAGTTCCCATACCAACCTTGGTTATACTTACAGCCCACCAAGTGGGTACAACTATGGAGACACCTTCACCCAGACATTTCTGGCAGGAGGAAGTAATTATTATTTTACACCAGACGAAGTGGAAACATTTTACGAAACAACCTAAAAACTGTGGCATTGAATTCAGCTTCAGACTTGACAGTCAATTAATATCAAACTGATTAAGCTAGAATAATAATTTTTTTATTAACAAGGCAATAAAAAAGAAATAATTTTAATTTGTGAATTTAATATTGAGGCCTGTAAGTTACAGTACAAAGCTTGTACTACCTAATTAAACTGATCATTAAAGTGCCCATGACCTAAAATTTTATATTTTCTTATCTGAAACTACACGTTATTAAAATAACTTCTCCTAAAGAATTTTGCGATTTGAACCAAAGACGATTATTTTAGAATTTTTTAAAAACGTTCAAATTTGCCGCCATTTTGGCACACCATTCGTCTTAGTCTTCTCTCGGAGTATGACGTCATATGACGTACTTTAAGGAACACGTGACTTTATCGACAGGAAAACATTAAGAGTTCTGGTAGGTTTTTTCTGTTTCAGAAAAAATTTCTTCTTGCGAAGACGTTTTGATTCAATCCTTACTTGTAATTGACATTTTTTCGGTACAGCTGGTGAAGGCAAGGTAATGCGAGTTCCTTAATTTACGTCACATGACGGCATATGTGAGACTGTTAGTTGGCGTGATCAGCGTCGCGGGTGTACCCCAAAAATGTAGACTTCAAAAATTGGTAAAAAAAATCGCGTTTTGTTCAAACCGCAAAATTTTTTCGCAGAAGTTATTTTAATAAGGTATAGACTCAGATAAGAGAATTTTAGGTGATGGTCACTTTAATATAGCCAAATGTTCTTATTTATTTCTTTTCAAACATTTCTCCTCGTCTGATTTTCAAAATATACACCTGTTGCGTTTTTTATCGAGCTGTCTCGTCAAATTTGGCATATTAAGCCTACATTATTTTGCATTTTTCTTTTTATGTTTTACCTGGTTTTCTTGATTACGAAAGACCGTATTAACCCTCGGACGTACAATTGTACAAGGTATAAGGTATAAGGTTTTTCTGAGATTTTTCTTAGAGGATAAAATATCAGCACCTCACTTTTTCGGTAGCTGTTTGTTCATCCCTTGCACACATTTTGAGACAAGTGCAGTGATGGCCAGTTGCTATGGTTACGAGATATGACGTCATAAATAGCAGATGGTCAAGCCATTTTGAGTTAAAGTACATGTTTTTTCAACTTTTTTCAACAATATAAGTAAATCTTGTGGCTAAAATCATGCAAAGTGCTTAGTTATTTGTTATTTTTTATGTAAAGCACAAAAAAATTACCATTTCTCGCGGTTTTAACCTGATTTCTAATCCTTGATAAAATCCAAGATAGCGGCCAAGAAGGCGACCATTGTTGGTGGCGTCACAGACCTCCAGCAGCGCCACTACCCATAAAATATACCTCATTTTGTTAAGAAGATTAAAAGCTTTCCAGGTAAAATCGTTTCGAAATACTGCAACATATCTAAAACTCAGGGGAAGGGTTCCATCCACCCGCCCCGCTTGTACCACGGTGGGAGTATGACTTTGCGAGTACGTCCAAGGGTTAAATTGATATTTGGTAACCACTGGTGCCAGCGCTAGGGGAATATGATGATATCCCTCTACTGTGGTGCTACGGCTGAAACTGATGTAACTCGAACAATTTTTAAGAAAGCCATGAGCATGGGATTAGGGATTAGCAAAGAAGAAATTCATTTTTGGCAAATCCTAATTAAAGAATTCTAGTTTAATATAGACCTGCATTAAAAGCACCGTACACCGATAGACCACAGGTCAAACCAGGAATAACGACTTTGAAACACGTGGTCTAATGGTCTTATTCTGCCTGAGTATAACCCTCCTTCCTTTACGATCTCAGTGTAAAAAGACATTCGTTAGCCTTAATTAGCTTATGCCCTACATGTGTAGTAAATCGGCATTCTTCCTAGAAAGTAACGAATGGAGAGGGCCCTGGTTTGCGAAATACCTAACACGAGAAGAAAAAACCTGTGTATACGGCCATATTTTTTTTTCCTAGAAATAGAAGTTGAACAATTTTTTTGATGTCAGCCATTTGTAATGCGACAATCAGCCGAAAGAAAATTTTAGTAAAAAACACTGCAAGGAAAGATAGCCTCAAATACAATTCATTTATTTCAAACATTCAACATACATAGCCTGCGTGGTAGGGAAAAAAAGGGGGAGGGGGAGAGGAAAGGGAGAAAAGAGCGAAAGGGAAAAAGGAAGGGAACACCGTCTCCTTCCTCTCTCCCAAATCCCCCTCCTTTTTTCCGTTCCTCCCTATCCTCTGCCCCTTTCGCCGACATATACCGAATCAGGTACTTTCGCCGACTCTGGAAGAGTGGAGCAGATTCTTTCCAAAACAAGTTCACCATATAAACTTCCAAGACTTCCACCCAGAGAAAAGGTTAAACAGCATCTCATCAGAGACAAATTCCTGTCAAAACCAAAAGCACAAAAAGTAATTGATAATTGAAACAGGTCAGCTTCATGACCTCTCAATGTGTATCCTGAATTTCAGCCGTCTCCTCGTGTGGCAAACTTCCTAGATAGTGAGCCGAGAAAAAAAGTGTCTTTATTACACGTTATATTGCATTTTACAGTTTTCCAGAGCTGTAGATAATTTTACCAGGATTGTAACAAGATTGTAACAAGATCATATCTGATCACATGACGGTTTGACCGGTCAAGTTCATACAGTTCGATTCTCAGTAAAACAAAATAAGGCGATTTGCACGTTCAACTGCAAATTTGACGGCAATCAAGTTCACAAGTAACTCCTCTGCGCTCTTTGTTTCTTCTGGTAATCGTGGGAGGAATTTTGATAAATAATAGGCCATTTTGACTTTGTGGTCACGTGGATGATTGACGATATCAGGAATAGGATTGCCCCCAACCAGTTTGGCTGCTTAAAAGGTACATCCACCGCGTTTTGCCTCCTCGACATGATGCACACCTGGTTGTCCTGTCTAGATTCACCTAATAAACACCTCCGTCTTTGCTTCTTGGACTTTTCGAAAGCCTTTGACCGTATTAGTCACAACGTACTGATTAGAAAACTGGTAGATTTAGGTGTTCGACGGTGTCTTGTACCATGGATCATTAGTTTCCTCTCAGAAACGCGTAAAAATTGGAGAAGCGTTTTCGGATTGGCTGCCGGTCAATGCAGGTGTACCCCAGGGAACTAAAAAGGAATTATCACCAAATTAAGACACTATCTAAATCTGTATGAAACAACTGTATTACTCTTCCATCGATCCATATTTAACCTATGCTATAACTAGCTGGGGAAGTGCTTGAAAAACTAGGCTGAATAGGATAAGGACTAAGCAAAATAGATGCATTCGTTCAATTATTTTTTGCACACAGTAGAGAGAATGCTACGTCTTACTATAATTTATTGAATATCCTCAAATTTGATAACATTTTTAAACTTAAAGTAGCACTCTGAGCACATAAAATCATTAAAGAACTAACAGGCATCCCAACAATATTCTCTGGAACTGGCCTCTGGAACTCTACCTCCAGCTTCCGACTTCTATAGTCATTATACTAGATTTGTTTCTAATCTTCACTTCCATAGGCCACAAATAAATAACAAACTATGGAGCTTCCACTTTTTCTTTCATTGCGTCGAAAATATGGGAGACCTATTCCACTGGAGCTAAAAGACTATGTTACTACAGCTTCTCTAAACACTTCAAGTTATATCTGCTAAATTCTCAGTCTGTTTCCTAGAATATATTGATTTAGTTTACTTAAGTTTAACCACTTTTAGCCTGCATGTTTTGTTGTTGTTTTGTTCTTTGTTTTTTTGTTTAATACACGTCAGTATTGATACTTTTAATTAGCACCTTTTCTCTTTGTATAATTATTTGTCACTACGCTTATTGTCTACACATGTATGCCAGCTAGCTAAACGTAGCAGTGACCTACGGTCGGCCATTTGTTTCAAAATTATGACACGATATATGTGCGGTTTTTTCCCAAGTATACTTGCAATCATTCCTGCTATACGATATACGTGTCTTTTTTGCCACGTACACTTGCGTTCTTTCCTGCTTTGTGGGGTTTTTATTCCCAAGTATATGACCATTTTCTTACAAACGCGCATATATATGCGCACAAAAAAGCCTATATATATATGCGTTACAAACAAGTATGTGGTATATGGGGTCACAGAAAGTCGTCGCATAAGAGGCACCAAATTATACTGTCAGCAAAAAACCCCTTCATGTACGATGGAGCTGAAAAGTAACTTTAGTTTGAAGCAAGGATGGCCGCAATGGCCGCGTTAATTTCGAGCAAGGTTTGGTTCTTATTCATTGCCCTCACAGTACAATACAATACAATAACTTTATTTAAAGAGGGAAGCGCAATAACCTGTTACAGTTTTCTAACCTACGGCCCTCAAAAAAAAAAAAATAGACAACCCGACAACGGATTTGTTGGAATCCGTGGATTGTCTTTTGAGAGACTGTGTACTCTATTCAGTCACGAATGCTGACTGAAACAACGATGGATTCAGTTAGAAATTAGCGTCTGACAGGCCAAACACGAGTCAAGCTCGTGATAATGTGAAACATGACCTTGTGAGTCTGCTTGAACAAATCGATTTTTCTTCTTTTCTCTCTCTTGCGCGAATTATCACCTTTTCTCGCGGGGGGGTGGAGCGGAGGCACACCCCTTAACCTTTTATATAGCATTTTTCACGATTTCGTATACCTTCTATTGACAAATGGTACTCCTTTCACATACTCTTGCTTAGCCGGAACTTTGTACCCCTTTTAACTGCTGGAAACCCGCACTGTCATAAAATAAGAATCAGTCACAAATGTAGAACGCTTTCTCGACAGGTAAGGGATTGGACCTCGGGGCGGAGCCTCCCCGTACAAATATTTGTTGAGTACCTCTCCGGGATTTCGGGTGGAGCCTCCCCGTATAGGCCATCATAGGGAGTACCCTCCCCCCGGACATAGCAAGAAATAATCACATGCCTGGGCAAAGAAACTTACATAGTTATTCGACAGATCCAGGATTTACGGAGAAAACGGTAGAAATTAAAATCGATCTTTATTTAGCCGTGATACTAAATTAAAGCTTCAGGCTTAAACAGAAGTCAAAGAAAATTAAAACACTTTCCGACTGCATCTGAGATCAACTCCTATCAGGAACACCTACAGAACCATAAACCACAGGAAATGATTACTCAGTATGCATGTAATTCTCTTTAGTGCTAGTAACTTTAACTTTAACTTTATTATTCCATCGTTCATATAGTTCAAACTCAGTAAAGCCAAAGCCGGGGGCTTATACGACCCGTGGTCAAAATGACAGAAACTATTTTGTGTAGAAATGAAGACTGAAGGCTAAATTACAAAACTAAAACAAGATACAAAAGTTAAATTCAGTAATGCAAGCAGTCCTATAGCAGAGATAAAACTAGAAATACTAGTGACAAATAAACTAACAATAAACTATGATAGTTATGCGCTAATTCAATTCAGGCTTAAAAAGTAAAGTTTTAGTTTCTTTTTACAGTCAGTTGTGGTGAGGCTCTTACAGACAGTCGAGGGGACATCAGTGGGATATCCTTGGCCAAATAATCGGGGCTCGGTGAGAACTAATAGCAAATTGATACCTGAGGGACATTTTATGCAAGTTGAACGAGAACGAGTTAGATACCCATGAAAATCACAATTAAAGTGGAAGAGCAAGGAAAGAGAGGCAGGTGGAAGGCTATTAAAGTGTGAGAATACAAAACAACAAGAAAAATGGAATTTATAGAGTGAATGGAGGGAAAGAATACAAAGCTTCGAGACTAGGATGCTTAGAACGTGTTCGTGGAGGAGAAAAGGTGATAATTCGCGCGAGAGAGGGAAAAGAAGAAAAACCGATCTGTTCAAGCAGACTCTCAAGGTCATGTTTCACATTATCACGAGCTTATAAGTCGTGTTTTGCCTGTCGGACGCTAATTTCTAACTGAATCTATCGTTGTTTCGGTCAGCATTCGTGAAATAGCGTACACAGTCTCTCAAGAGACAATCCACGGATTCCAACAAATCCGTTGTCGGAGAGCCAACAACCACCACTACTGTGAGGGCAATGAATGAGAACCAAACCTTGCTCAAAATTAACGCGGCCATTACGGCCATGTTTGATTCAAACTAAAGTTACTTTTCAGCTCCATCGAACATAAAGGGGTTTTTTGCTGACGGTATAATTCGGTGCCTCTTATACGACGACTTTCTGTAATCCCATATACCACATGCTTGTTTGTAACGCATATATATGGGTAGCCTGCGTAGCAGGCGTCGAAAGGGGTAGGGGATAGGGAAAAAGGGAGGGGGGTAGGGGAGAAAGGGGAAGGGACGCCTGCTATAAGAACCCCCTTTTATTCATTTCTGCGGATGCTGGCGTCCGCAAATTCCTGATTGGCTGAGCCGTAATGAGTAACTTATTGGCGTGTATCCCGGCGTGTATCAGTGTGAGAGACAAACATGACGAAAACATCAACAAAATGTGTTCTACTGGCATAAGCTTTGGAAGGTCAAAATTACTCCAATCATGTAGCAACTTCACGTTAAAACCCGAACTAAAACCAATTGTAACAGCTTGTTTAGCAGGCAGAGATGCTCAGGAGGTTTTGTATACTGGATTTGTCCATTCACCGAGCAGCGATTCAAAGCGATTGCGATTCTTGCCAGACATCTGCAATGCCGATATTCAAAAGACCTCCTTTTCTGCAAAAACATATACCATCTTGAATGGAGTTTTAACAGGAGCCTGGTTTTAAATGGTTTGCAAAGAGAGAGTTGAAGCTTTGGTAAAAGCGTACTATCCGTTGAGCGTTTTGGCAATTGTTTATAATTCTCCTTTACTTTCATTACTCGCGTCTCGGGCTGGCCAGTGTTCTGTTCTTTGTGACCATCACGGTGCTTGATGAGGTTGTAGATAACAGGTCTTGTGTATTCACACGAAACTGATCATTGTTTGTCGTAGATTGCGAGCAGCAAAAAAATGAGAGACTGCTCGCAGTCTATGTTTGTCGTGTTTGCTGCGAAAGCAAGAACAGTAAAAATGTTTCATTTCGCTCGATTATGATATCACTTGAAAAAAGCGTCTCAACTTGACAATTTCCGATAAACAAAGAAATTAAGTTCGGACCATGCTGAGAATCCCCGTACTTGTGATTGGCCACGTATTGACAGTGACATTAGCGGATTATGCACTTATCAATTGAAACCCCGACGCCCACCCCGGGCCAAGGTGGGGATTTGACTTGTAGTCAGGAGGCAGCTCGCCAGAAAACGATTTCCGCTAAACATTTTGAGTAGAAGCAGGCAACATAGCTTAAAATCTTCGTCTTGCCATCCTGATTAAGAATTGTGCTGTTGCCCACCCCAAATGTTATGATATCTGTCATTAAGCGGGTTTTTTGTCTAGGCCCTAGCTCCAGCAGCATGAAAACGTGGCTGAACTGTAACAGTTATATAAACCCAATAAAAGTGCACAATACGATGGGGAAATAGCTGGATCTTTGCGACTTGACGTTTAGAACTCAATAGACAGTAGTGTGGGAGATAAAATGCATCACGTGATCAGTTATGAAGAGTCACGTGACTTTCCAATGAAATCGATTTTAAAGCACAAAAGACGTTCTATTCACACTTTCCTTTAATATAGTTTTAAACTTACTGACGTTTCTCATTTCGATTTACACATCCAACAATAAAAACACAAAAATGCAATAGGTGATCAGCTAGGATGGGTCACGTGATGTAATGAAATCATTCTATTTTCAGTCATTTATCGGTCGATATAGCGGTCGATAGTCGGTTAACACTTGGTCGATATAGTGGTCGATAGTCGTCTGATAGTCGGTCGAAAGTCAGTCCATCGTGGGATAGACTATCGGCCGAGTCTCGGTCGATATTTCGACGACACACCTCGACCGACTATAGGTCATATGTCGGTGACATATCCGTCAACTGTTGGTGGTATATCGGTCAACTGTCGGTCGAATATCAGTCGTGTGTTAATTTAGCAGATGAGTCCAATGGCTTTCTTTTTAAGCAATGACGTCATAATTAGTGTTATCATGCGATGGGGGAACATGTGGCAGTGTGAGGCGTGATTACTCTACGAAGCGAACCGAAGAGCATTGGGATCTAGGGACATGGTAACCTTTTTTTTTCCAGTTTGTATCCTCACCGATCGTCTGATTTTTAGCTGTTAAACAGAACCTGTCAGAGCCTAAGTTGGATCTGCTGCTCCTGTGGTCCCGCAGTAGAAGAATACTTAAAGAAAGACGAGGGAAATGACTGCTGCCGCAGTCCCGAAGTGGACGAATAATGAATAGGAAGGGCAGTTCATGACATGCTTTAAGAGCGAGGAATACACATCTTTTATTATTGGGCTTTGACCTGCTCCATCACGCCGAGTTCTCGCTTGTGCGGAAACCACAAATTAAACTTATATATTTCTGCATTGAAGATGGGAACAGTCCTTTGTTTAACGATCAGTTATTGATAAAACGCGCTGATAATGTGCTGAGGAAGGTGACAAAATATCCAGCAGACTGAACACATTCATTTATTTTGGGAATGATTTCCATTTACAGCAAGGAAAATACTTATACGTTCTCATTACATTATCCTGTCCTTTTGCTCTGTCCTTTCGCTTTATACTGTGTTCAAAATAAAGACGACCATGCGTAACAGAAATTGATATTGAATGGTAAGTAACTTTTGGTCATCCAGTAAAAGGAAATCAGTATGCGCCGCGTTAACATCAAAATTATCTTAACTTGTTAAGGAAAAACAAGTTGAACAAAATGAACTGTAAATACATTTTTTCATCAATGTAGTTCTGAGTCGGTTGAAAAATTCTCGGCATGGGAAAAATCAGCCAGATATAGGCCTTACACGGTGGGAATAAATCCGATAACAAGAAGCTGTAGGCCTATCACTCTCACTTAGCGGATTTCTTAGTTATGATTCGATTTTAGCTGGCTAAGCGTAGCTAGACACCCCCACCCCTCAACAAAAAAACGAGGGGAGGAAACGTGTGCGAAAAGGAGGTGGGTATCGATACAGATAGGCTAAATCCCGTTCACATGAAATAAAACAAAGGCTAGATAAATGACTTATATCTATTATTCCGGAATTTTGGCTAAGTACATTGAAGTTTGAAATGAAAAAAGCAGAAACACAATTTAAAAAACAGTTAGGTTCAAGCTAGAAAATGCTTTCTAATTTCTTGTTTTCCAACCCCAAAAATGTAGGAAATGCTAGTTAACAAAGGTCATTGATTTCCATTTACAGTGGATACTGTCCTGCAATGTCCTGCATCAGTCGACCTAAACAGCCATTGGGGTGAGGCTCACCATGCCATCGTCTCCACATGAATTCTTTAAGGTATTCTTGCTATCTTCTGACTATCGACCAAGTGTCGACCGATCATCGACCGAGTGTTGACCAATTACTTACCGATACATCGGTGAAGTATCGACGAACTATCGGCGAAGTGTCGATAAATTGTCGGTGAACGAAAAGCTATACCGGCCGAGACACATCTGGAACGACTATCGACCATGTCTCGACCGAGTGTCGTCCGACTATCCGACCACCGTCCGACCACCATGTGACTTCCACCTTATCAAAGTTATAGGTCACGCTTCATTTGCCTCTGCTGCAGTGTTCCTGTCGTTTCTGCACCTGTCGCCACATTTGCATGCCTTGGAACAGTAAAGAGATAGTTGAACGCAAGTGCGGCGTTGGTTTACACAGCATCCGCCTTCTCGGGAGCACCCACAGTATGCTAACTGTAAACACGCCGCTTACACTTCTTCTCGTGTCATTAACTTTCGCTTCAGAAGGCCTTCACTGTAGTACCATCCGCTGTCTTCAGGCTTTGGGAGAGAAGGACATGGTTCCAGCGCTTTATGCCATACCATGGTCTGATAGTTTGCCCCCTTTACGTGGAGAATCAGTGCACCTTGAGTCAGAGGTAGGGCGTCAAGATCTTTCTTGGATTTGCGAAACGCTGCTTCTCTTTTTTTGTTGATTTCCACCTCTTGTGTTCCCTGATTGTAGAATTTGCATACAAAGGCTTCAGCTTTGGCAAGAACGTCAGCACTGATTTGGCTTTCTTCTCCAAGGTGTTCCAAGAGGTCAGGTGCATTTTCGAAGACTTTCCATTCCGATGCCTTGCCCTCACCATAAAACTGGCTTGTCGTATCACAGCCAGTAATGGCATGAAATGCCAGAAGCGACTTCCTCTTCTCCTCGGAGAGCGGGATTCTGTGAACTGGTATGTAACGCCTTTGTCTTGATGTACCCGCAAACATCCATATCTCTTGACAAAGCTGCTCTCGGTGTGCCAAAAGGAGGACCAGAACGTCCGTATCAAGACACAAAATGTTGACTTGCTTGTATACTATTCTAGTATCTGCCTCCTCATGATCTGATGCGGGCTCTCTTATATCTTGTCGTGTTGTGTCAGATGACCACACCTTCAGTGTATCCTTGAAGCCTCCATTGATCACCAG